AATGTAATGCAATTGTGAAAATCATCTAGGTTACTCTCGCTTTTATGTAGTGAATATATAAAGTACACATTAGTTCGTTGCGATATAAATCCAAGATCATTTGAATTACATACGACGTAGTGTTGATTTAGTTCATGGTTTGGCACAGAGTTGTTGACTGAGTTTGCATAGATCCAACAATAAATTCGTCTAAATACGTATCATCAACTGAACGAGCAGTTCAGACTATGTCTAAGATTTCAAGAATTTCACAGTCCAACCAGCTTATTTCAGGCATTCGCATCGTCTGTTTGACCATGGTACCCAGCAACTGGAAAATAGATTCACAGTGGTCAAGTATGAAAAACATTCCAGTGGATAGCTTCCGATAGAAAATAGCGTATAACTTGTTTAAGTAGGAAGATGAATTTACGATTAATAGCTGGTTTAATCTTCTTTCTATAAGCTACATATAGATGTGTGTTTGCGCAGCCTTGTGGCTATAATTACGAGTGATTCATATCTTAAATGACATATTGAACAGGAGCCCTTACATGCTTCTAATATTTATAAAAGTACCATGATCTTGACGATTTGCTGTTCTTGACAGATCTGCGAAAAGAATTGTCATAAACCCTGAAAGAGGTAATGATCTAGTGGGTAATCAAGTAAAGACATTGAGTGAAGGGCCTTCGACAACATTAGTATAGACAGAAGACGCATCGATACTAGTGTGGATATTCTGAAGCTCATCACCGCCACAAAATCGACGTTGTACAGCTCTTAGCGAAATTGTGTCCAATATCACATACCCCCTAAATGCAACTGTGACCTCCGAAAGTTTTGTAGGTGACTGAACTACTTTTAGCCGTTTTGAAGAGGATCGATTTTCACCGTCAACAATGCTGAGCAGTTCAGGTCTTGTAAAAAAAGTCAGCTATTAAACTGGCCGTGCAACCTACTCTTCAACCTCAATGAAATGAATGAATGAAGACCTTCTGACTCCCGGGGCAGAGTTTAAAAGGTTTGAATAATTTTTTCTGGTTAGCGTTTTTTTAGCGAGTTAGTTTTCTACGGATGGGGACGCTAACCCCATGCCCAACCCTCCTCCTTTATCCGGGCTTGGGACCGACAATAGCCCCCGGAGGGACTACAGGCGGAGTTTCTTCAACCTCAAAGTACCAGAAAACCTGAAGAGACGATCACGATGATTCCCTCATAATCATTAACTCAAAAGCAACTTTGATCTTGCTCTCAGTCTGCAGAACAAAAGTAACAGGTTGATCTGTAAAGAGTTGAACAAAGAAGCTCACACTTGAGCTACTCACGGTTACACGGCTCACTCGGAGGAAGGTTACCAAGCACCAAAATCATCTAGGACTCAGTGTAATGTTCACCAACTTTGATGTATGCAGTGTTTCTTTCGGCTAGCCAGCTGCTGAAGTCAGAAGGGGTTGAAAGAATACTCTCTTAAATACCATATTCTGAGCACGGTCTCATTAGGAACATCCTTTGCGAGACGTTCTTTCGATGGTGAAATATCATTGTGTAAGTTGTTCCAGAAAAGACTGTGATAGATTGTAGATTATGGATTCATAATGCAGTGCTTAAAGCTCAAGAACATATTGACTCAGCAAGTGGTGCGATCAGCCAAGAAGGACTCTGGCTAATGAAGACAATCTTCCCCTCCTCTCAAATGGCGGCTTCCACTTTCGAAGACCTTTGTGGCAACAGATGCCGCCTACCAACTGGAATATACACACGCAATCAGATAGATCACACAATGCAAGAATCAAGCGCAAAAAAATTTAGGTCAGACTATTCCACCTGTTCCCTGTCAAGAACAAGGAAGATGCGTAGAAGAGTCATGGGCTACCAACTAGAATAAACCTATATATGTATCTTGTCTATCTATCCCCATAACGCTCATTCAGATGAACGGAACGAAGAAACCCACGCGTTAACACTCGACAGCACAAACTGCTTATACAGGAACGTCGCTAGGTTTCCGAAAAAATGGATGAACTAAGTAACACTAATAATACTCAACTGATAGGACTATCTGAAGCATGGACATCCCAATTTACAGACCAGAAGCTGGCAATACTCGGCACATCTTTGTTTCACAATGAGAGAAAAACAGGAATGTAGATGGAGCAGTCCTGTACGTACATTTTGCTTGCACGTCAAGTGTGCACTCATCGGTTTATCATTCTTGACAAATCTGTGAAACTAAACTAGAACATTCTAATAACAACAGGCGTTGCAATTAAAAGAGATCGGGTGTGTCAGCTTTATAGGTCAGCCCACAGTAGGTAGACTGAGAAACCCACACTCAACCTGATGTGAACGTTCATTAGGATTTCTTAATGAACACCATCTTATATGCTACAGAACAGTCTGTCTCACAAACGACCTCCAAAATTTATAGACAAGTTGCTATCGCAAAGAATCGCACTCGGCTAAAACGTAAAAGACACTACAGGGTAGAACATAAACCAACTATTGACAGCAACACATAAGCAGTTCAAACAAGTAAGGAACCAATGCAGTAAGGCAATAAGAAAAGATAGTATTCAGTATCGGCTAAAGCCGATCTGTTAACTTGCTTTCAGTTTGTAAATTTTAACCCTTCATGAACCTTCTCTTTGACAATTCAAAGCCTGAGTTTCACAATTGTCAGGTCCTAATGGCCTAACCACCAACGACGGTGACTTCACTAATCTTTTGGCAAACAGTATTTTCAAACATTTCAGCCATCCCATACTAACTACATCGACGAGCTTCCCTTGCGACTCAACAGGACTGTCAGAAATAAACCTAGGTTTGACGTGGTGAGTCAGCAACTGCAGAATCTCAACAAGGACAATTCGACCTGCTGACCGCCGTGGACAGATGGGCAACCAACCTTGATCCCAAGGGAAAGGTTTACTTATCAAAAATTTTAAATAGAGTCAATCATATGTCTTACCCAAATAATCAAATTTTTAAGGTCAGGGTGATCTTCACATTTTCTCGGACTACAGACTGTTCTAGTGGAGACCTCAGTGTTCAGAACCGTGACCTCTTCCTTTCTTAATTCACATAAATGACCTTCGGCAAGCAACGTCCGATATACTTCCTTTCGCTGACTATGTGAAATTCTGTAGAGATGTTTGCGACCAAGATAACGAGCTGGAACTTCAGGAGGATCTGAATTTAACTTTCAAGTCGGCGGACAACAATGGGTTTACCTTCAACACTTTAAGGTATAAAGCAGACCATTCGAGACTGGTTGCAGACCATGCATACAACTAAAGTACCTTCTCTATCCCTAGAGGTATTCCATGTTGATAACGATCTAGAAGTCCTAGTGCCCTATGATTTGAAGCCTTACGCTGACTGCGACAAAAATACCTTTCGAGCAAACCTTTACTTGTAATATTAAGGCTCATTTCTTACCATTATGATAGTAGGACTTTCCAATTTATCCTCGACAGTTTTGTTCAAACATTTAGAATATGGAAGTGTATTGTTTCTTCCCTCACTCCAAAAGCATAAGAATACATTGGAACCCACGAAGTCAGTTCAAGGACTCAAATTCATGCCTTATGAATAATTCCTCAGATAACTGAATTTACACTCATTAGGCGTCACAGAGTCGGCCTTCTTATGACTTACAGCATCTTAAACAACACTCAGCATCCCCTTAACTACCAACTTCAGCTCACTCACAACACAAAACTTGGTGTTAACACCTAGAAACTAGAGGCATAACATAGCAGGACAGACCGTCATCACACCTCTATTCTTTACGAGCAGTCAAATTCTGCATTTCTCTGCTGGCTGAGCTGGTTCGAGCAAATCTCAAGGGTTTTTTAAGAGGAAATGTGGCATATTTTCAAAGGCCGAGGACAAATATGGCCATGATTCACTAATATTTTCTCTTCTATCGTCAAATATACCTAGGTTCCTACCTGGGGACATCAGTGATCCTTTGCTACCAGATGCGGGAGCTCGTTACGAGGAAACTTCTTTTATTCTGTCAAGAACCATTTGGGTTATTGGAGACCTACCTACGCACTGGTCATCCTTGACCTTGACGAGGTTCGATGAACTGTTCGATATTCAGTGATCCGACCACCGGATGAATTATCTATGACCAAGTGACACTGCACTAGCCCTACATTGTAATAAGATGGAGTATATCATATTTAGTGTAGGATCAGTTCAATTCTTATTTTAACGTCATATTATATTCAAGGCAAGCATCTCACGAATTACATCTTGAGGTTTTCCATCTATTTTACAGTTGATGCCTAGTGAAAGACACGGAAGACGTCAAGATAGCCCCATAAACTACTTTCAAGCAGATTAGGCTGCTATTCTAAAATTAACTTATCGTTACAACTACCAAATACATCGTTAGTATCATGTTGTTACTCTGGGTGTGAGTGACCAAATGGAGAAACGATGACCAAACACAGGATGTCGGGAGACATTCTAGGCTAGAAGGGGTTCGACATTAACTCCTGGTTAGAACGAAATACCTTTACCTAGCAGTTCTGTACCAAGCGTATAATAACTAAAAATAAAATAACGACTAACTGAACCATGACATTAATCTTGGGAGATTAATTTGTTTAACATACTTTTCAATTGATAGTTAGCATTGGCAAAGCTACCTAGACATTAGTATTTGATGTTTACATTGTTGTATCCTAATACATGTTTGAGTGTGTATATTAATAAATCCGCCAGATACAAAGTGTATTTCTACTTTTACGGGGAAAGTGAGACTACAAGCAATAAAACACTTGTTTTACAAGTGAGCAGTAAGGTATGGTTTATTTACATAGTCTATTTCACCAGAATGTGAGTCCGATAGGTGATAGTCAACGCAAAATAATCTCTTAGTAATTCTAACAAGTATATTTGTTACCTCTTAATGAAGTAGCTTATTTGTATTCGGTTTTAGTACTTTCACGGTCTTTGCTGGAGTGTCGATTACGTTTTAAAACCATATAATTTATAAATACAATATGGGTTTCGAGGATAGTGAATGTGGAGACGATCATTTGAAAGATTCTACAAGGTTTGTTTGCAGATATTTTTCTATTGTAGTAATCTAGTGATGTTCAGAATCCCGAATTTTCAAGCAAAAAAGTTTTATCATCTTTCCATCCTGATGAGAGTCAAACATTACAAAACTTCAACGATGTTACTCCACCTCTTTGTATATTTTGCGGTATGAATGGAAACCTGAACCTTGGTCAGGGTGAACTACTGAGGTTCTACACAAAGATTGAATATTCAGAACCCCCTACTTGGTACAGTGACTTTATCATCAAGGTGAAGTCTAAGCAGGAAAAGTGTACAAATATTTTGGTGACAAACCGTTCAACACACACTAATCGACGGAACCAACATAGCAAAATTGTTGTAGCATCTTTCACACCTTTGGCGACAGACCCTGAGTTTTGCAAGGTAGGCCCTCACATATCTCTTGACGGATGTCGACGCAGTAGAAGTAAAAACTGTTTTGGGTGAGTTGAATTTGCATTATAAGTTTATACTTAGTTATGACTGCAAAACTTGTCTTGCAGGGATGCCAAATGCTTATTTCGATTGTAGTGGCCGACCATTTGGTTTGGTAGAAGAATTGAATTATGTTGGTTGGCCTTCTAAATCTGATGAAGATACCTTAAAAGTTTCCAATCTGATTGTTAAGTGTACTCCACGTGAAGGTGAAGAAGGTGGTTGGATATACGCGCATCATTGTTGTGCGTCGTGGTCTAATGGTGTTCACTTCAACGACCAGGTCAGTAAATGTCTTTTTTCAACTTAGAGTATTATTTTAAAAGCAGCAAAAGTATGATTCACGGATGATCTTCGAGCAACGCATAAATGACTGCAAAACATAAACATAAAAAGTCGAAATGCGTTTACTTTTACGTTCTGAATGTACTTTAGCATCTCCAGAATGAGTTTTCCTGAAATCAGAGGATATTTGGCACAGGAAATCATTCATGTTACTAAAAGTAATTTTCTATCTAGAACCTGTGTTGGTTTTCGTCTTCTGGAAATCCCCTTTTTGACGATTTTCATCCCAACTCATAAAATCCTGCTTCAGTCAAGTAAAGCTGCTTGCTCAGTCCATCGTTAATTTTTCCTTGCATTAAATGTTTTAGGAGTTTTCAGTTATATTACCGCTATATAAATTACTCATCAATCGATCTATGTTTTGAACGTCGATGGTGATTGGTGCATCAGTTTAGTTTAACTGTATCACATATTCGTTGACAAAATACTTCAACAAATATCTTGATTTTGGACCATATAGTGGGGTTTATCATATTTGGATACAATAGAGGGTGAATCAAAATCCCTTTCGTACCGTTTAATTAATTTTCTTATTTCAACACATAGATAATGGTACAAAGAGGCACCAAATACATATGCGCCACACAAATCTCATTCGATATGTATGAGGGCTGTGATACTGCCCGGGTGCCCAAACCGAAGCACTTGGTTTTCCCCGTGCCTTCGACCTAAAGGTCTGATCCACAAGGCAGTGGAGCATCGTCGGGAGATGCAGTCCCATGGAAGCCGGTGACCAACAATTGGTTCATACGCCGTTTGTTCCTCAGGATACTGGAGCCCATGTGCACCATTGGTTTGGAATCCGGTTAAAGCGCCGGACATTCGCTTTTCGTCCTCTCACTTTTGTAAACAACACCCCCGCCATGAGAAAGCAGTGAGTAGGACTTCCCTGGCAGAGGCTGTATACGCGTGGCCATGTGAGAGCATTTCGAGAGGGAGAGCGGACTCTCCCCACTCTCGGCTGTACCAGGGCATTTGGGGACATACAGTTTAAACGATCATAGCAATTCACTTACTCTCATTTAAGTCTGTCCTCAACTTGCTTTTGATTAGTAACGAAACATTTATTGTATATGAGTGGAAAATATATAAGTATTTCATTTAACCGTTTTGTAATCAATTAATATCATCCTTAAAATAACTTGATTGCTTTCGAGTTCATAAATTTTCTGTTTTTTTTGCTTGTTAAGATGGTTCTGGAAGGTGTTGAAGATGCAGCGGTTATAGCTGTTACTCGGAAGTGCTCTCTTTGTCTCCGTTATGGAGCGAGTATTCCTTGTCGTGTCAGTGACTGCAACTCATGCTTCCACTTCCTTTGCGCAGCGGGAGCTGGTTGTTTGCAAGATATCGAATCGTTAGAGTTGTTATGTCCGGTACATATATCAGAAGCGCTTACATCAAGTAAGACTAAATTTATTCGATGCATAGTAAATTGTTGGTAAATGCTTGAAATGATATAGTGGCTAAAGAACTTGACTTCCACACATTTTGGCTTAAGATATTGAGTAGTATCATTGGCCCTTACATGATAAGTGTGGCTCGAAGCTAAGCACGTAAACCTGTACTTAGTTACGGATTTATGACATAGTTAATCACTTCTAGGTAGCAAAATTTGTGCTTTAATAAGCAAACCATTTTTCTACGGAATATTGCAAAAGATGAATTACATATATATGTAAAGGTTTAATACCCTTTTTAAACTGGACAAATATAATGTCTCAGTTCATTTATCAGTGCTTGTACATGCTTGTTTTCCCATCAATCTGATCTGGCCATTCTAAAAGTTCTCTTAATTGTTTCTTCCAGCACATACAAACTGTGTGGTTTTTTAAAACAATTCATCCTTATACATTCTTTTGTGTTTGCCTAAAACCAGTAATATATGTATTTCTATCTGTATTTCCGTATATTATGTAATAATTTATAGAAATCGAGTGGTTTCTCTAAGACTCTGATGGCTTATGATTTTCATAGGCGTGATCGGTAAAATAAAATTGTTTTAATTACTCGGTGATGCGGTTTTGCGTCCTTTCATGGTGTCGTAAGATATCATGCAATACGCTTATTGCAATTTAAGTGACTGAAATTCATCAAGGAGATATAGTAAGCTAAGTTAAAGCTTGATACCAAAACCGGTGCGCTGTCAGAAGTACATGTAGAATAACCACCTAGTAACTAGAAATCACCATGACATAACAACTACGGCATTGTTTCTTGTAGGATGATTCTTTTTTCTACACTACAATCTGTGAACCTGTGTGCCCTGTTTACTGTATAACGCAGCGATACCGCCAATCAGAGAGCAGCGAATTATCGATTGAACTAGTGACGCATAAAACACGTGCGAGCAGCCTAGAGTCCTGATTAGTCCTGCTTTCCGCCTAGCCCAGCCAGTTGATTCCAGAACACCTATCTCAGCCTCTGCAATATGAATCATTTATTTCAAACATACGGGGTTTATATACCAACCAAACAGACCACAATGTACCATAAAATAGAAAATAACATTTGTACAATATTTGACCAAAAGTGGCTGTGAATGAGGAAGGTAGTGATTAACAGACAGGGAATAATTCAAGAATAGTAAATCGTATAATAATAGTTTATAGGTCAAAATAAAACTCATAATAACAGGGACATGAATATGAACAGTTTAGTTACATAACAATTACACGATAAAAATATACTCATAGTATTGGTCCATAATTGGATCCCAAAAATACCATTCATTATTCTTATCTGGATATAACACAATTATGCTTTTAATTTTTATTCTTTTTGAAAGCATTAGTGACTGATTTTTAATTCCCACCTTAAACTCTTATTTCATTTATAAACATGAAATTTTAGGTTGTATATCAATACAGTGTGGTCTCTGTGAATCTCCAGGCGATTTAACCGAGCTTCTGTTCTGTACTGGTTGTGGTAGTCATTATCATGCTTCCTGTTTGGAGCCACCTTTGCAACCAAGTCCCACAATTCGCATAGGGTGGCAGTGTGCAGAATGCAAAACTTGTTTGATTTGCAAGTAAGTTGTCATCGTAAAATCTACATTCGATGATATAAGTATTTCTTAAACAGCAAATAATCTAAAAATACGTTTCTCAGGTGAATTAACAAGATGAATTAGGCATTTTATAATGTTTTTAATTGCAAATATGAAGTTATTTAGTCACCAGTAAGATTTCTAAAATTTATTGGAATAGTGGTTTGTGTACTAACTTCCTTTCCAATCGATTTAGTGTTTTCTTCCTAGTTATGTTTACTTGTAAACATCTGTACAATTTTTCTGAAACGAAGCAGTAAACCCTCAAACCGACTGTTATTTTTTACGGAATTGTCTATGTTTATATGTATAATTCAATCTTTTATCTACTGACACTCTTGTGCTTGTCTATTTTTAGCGAAAGTAAAGATGAAAATAAAATGTTAGTATGTGACGTGTGCGACAAGGGCTATCACACTTATTGTCTGAAGCCTCCTGTTTCTAGTATTCCTAAAATGGGTTCAGATGCGAACGATGCCGTGTATGTTCTGATTGTGGTGGCGGACGCTCTTCTACGTTAAGTGGTTTGGAGGGACCAGTTGCTTTTAACAATCAGCTCGTAAGTTGCAGTTCACATCGCTAGTTTGTCCTCCGAAAACAGGATTGATTTCATACAAAGCTATTTCTTTTTATAGAATCCGAACGTCCGTTGGCATAGTAACTATACACTATGTGATCGGTGTTTCCACGCTCATAAACGCCCGAATTCATGTTGTCCTGTATGCGATCGAGCATGGCGTTGTTCACTACCGGTAGGTATTCCAGTAACGAATCATTTAATGATGAGAGATGTATTTTTTTTCCGAAGAGTTGCACGTATGTTTCCTCTTGGCTTTGTTATGATATATACTTCGGATTGCTTATTTTGTACGTAAAACTGGAATTCTAGCTACATTTCTTTTCGAAAGAATTGATGGACCTGTTTATCTATATTTTCTGCGGTTATTTCGGTGACTTTATTCTGGTAATAACAATGGGTTTTTACAGACCTTAGTTTATTTTTGCATAAATTTCTGATACAATATTTCCTAACTCAATGCTCTTCAGGTTTAGCAGTTAACATGATTAATATGATGATTTCTAAAGATTTTGTAATTCCCTTTAGAACAACACTATGGATACTTTGATATGAATAGGGCTCACAACAGAATGGTATTCGAGATGAATTGCACTCAAATTTTCATCAGAAGTTAAGGATGATATAAATCTTTCTGTATCGATTACAGGAATTTATTGTATATTCACGGTAGGGATAATAATTTGAACGTGAACTAACTGAACCATTTTTTGGAACATCATGTTTCTAGATTTGAAGCATATCACACTTCTTATTCGCATATTATTTCTACGAAATTGTGGCTTGCAAAATATTGATAACGTACTAGTTATTTCCCGACCGTTGTTGCTACCTTGACGTGGTGTCGGGCTTGCCTATCGTGATGAAGCAACCGAGCTATACTGGCTGGAACAACCGTTCCTCAAGGTCCTACCATGTCAGACAGGTCGTTGAAGAGCGGTAAGACTAAAAGCAACAAACCAAGGTCGAAGGCGAAGTCGTACTGCTGACTGTACAGAGGTGACAGCAGTAAGGTTTCCTTCAGACAACCAGCATGACAGCGATGCTGCCTTCCCACAGGAGGGGTGGGTTAGAAAAGGTCGACCCTAAAATGCACACCTCGCCTTATCCCACGAATATCCGTCTCCGGCGGTAAGGTCTCAACAAGTACGGAAGAAGATTGTCGTTCATTCTGGAGCACCTGCTTGGACTCCGACCATGCCCTAATACGGGCACGCATCTGCTTGCGCCTCACTGGACGCAAAAAAGCCACATTAAAAAGACCCATTAGAACTGAGTTGAGTAACGAGAAAACCAAAAGTAGGTTCCAGGAACAACTGAGGTCACACTTAGGTAGTTGTGAAGACGAGGCTGACCCAGATGTTGCTTGGAAACATACAAGCAGCTGTGGAAACAGCAGTGACATCTATTAGTGACTTAAACCACAGAGTTACAAGGAACCAGTGGATTTCTTCAAGGTCTGTCACACTGATGGATTCTCGCAAACTCGTCCCATCAGGTTCTGAACATGATGAAGAGCGAAACAAATCAGATCTAGGTTAAGAAAAAGTCTAAGGAACGACCGTGAGCAGTGGTGGGTAACGAAAGCAAAAGAGATGGAAAAGGCGGCGACTATAGGGAACACAAGACAGCTTTACAGACTAATAAAAGAAACTGGAATTAATAAGTCAAGTGTAAGTGAGATTATTTCGGAAAAAGATGATACTCTCATCTGCTCCCAGTCCAGACGTTTAGAACGATGGGCGGAACATTTTAGAGAACAGTTCAGCTGGCCTTCAGCTACTCTACAACTACCCTCCATTCCCAGACAAAGTGAATGGAACATTGAAGTAGGTCCCCCAACTCTTGCTGAAGTTGAGAAGGCTATAGTTAATCTGAAACGAGGAAGGGCAGCTGGTCCAGATGGATTGGCTCCAGAAGTCTTTAAGGATGGTGGTCCAATTTTAGCGATTAGGTTGACTAATATTTTAGCTAAGATCTGGGAGTTAGACGTTATCCCATCTGACTGGTCGCAATCACTTATCGTCCCAATATATAAGAAAGGGTCAAAATCATCCTGTGACAACCACAGAGGGATTAGTTTAACAAACATAGTATCTAAAATACTGGCCTCGATAATTATCAAACGCCTAACTAAGACTCGTGAACTACAAACACGAGAGAACCAAGCTGGCTTTAGACCTGGTCGTGGCTGCATCGACCACATATTCACCATTCGTCAGGTTCTAGAACACAGGCATACCTATCGGCGTCCGACGATGGTGGTCTTTCTTGACTTAAAAGCAGCATTTGACTCTGTAGACCGCGAGACTCTGTGGCAGTGTCTGTCATTGAAAGGCGTACCTCAGAAGTACATAAACCTTGTGAAGGCTCTTTACTCGAACACTACTAGTCGAGTCAGGGCTTATGGCGAACTGTCATCTACCTTTACAACCTCAAGTGGTGTCCGTCAAGGCTGCCCACTTTCTCCATTTTTGTTTAACTTCATCATAGACCTATTGATGGAAATAACACTCTCGTCGACTGAATTCTCGGGTATTGATCTCCTTCCAGGAGGTCCACTTATCGACTTAGAATATGCAGATGACATAGTCCTGTTTGGTGAAGACGCTGACAAAATGCAGAGTCTTCTGGTAGCACTAAGCAACAATGCCAGAATGTTTGGGATGCGCTTCTCTCCCTCTAAATGCAAGTTGTTGCTTCAGGACTGGTCTGCGTCAACACCTGAACTAAGGATAGGGAGTGAAGTAGTCGAACGTGTTGACAACTTCACTTATCTTGGAAGTCTGATCAGCCCTAATGGGTTGGTGTCTGACGAAATCTCAGCACGGATTCGTAAAGCTCGTTTGGCTTTTGCCAACTTACGTCACCTTTGGCGGAGGCGAGATATCCGTCTATCAATAAAAGGACGAGTATACTGCGCGGCTGTCCGTTCTGTTTTAATTTACGGCAGCGAAACATGGCCCTTAAGAGTAGAAGACACCCGTAAGCTACTAGTATTTGACCACAGATGCCTTAGAAATATTGCTGGCATCTGCTGGGATCACCGGGTAAGTAATAGTGAGGTTAGACGCAGGGTATTAGGGAATGATGGTAAATCAGTTGATGAGGTTATGAATCTTCATCGACTGAGATGGTTGGGCCACGTATTACGTATGCCTGAACACCGATTACCGCGACGTGCAATGCTAACCGGTGTAGGGGATGGTTGGAAGAAAGTTAGGGGCGGCCAAACCAAAACGTGGCATCAGTGCCTGAAGTCACTAACTTCTAGTCTGAGCCATGTTGGTAGATGCAGACTACTTGGTTGGGGTCCGCGTGACTTTCGTAACCAATGGTTGGAGACCCTTGGTGACATGGCTCAGAATCGATCACAATGGCGTCGGTGTATACACTCTCTGTCTTCTCTTAAACTAAGAGATTAAGATCACTTCACATCTTTCTTTCTACGAACTAATTCTTTCTTCCTATACTATATCCTTATTGCAATCTTTCTCCTATATATTACCACCTTTGACCTAACCACTCCTATGAATCCAGTGTTCATCTTGCTGTGCTAATGAGGTATGGCAACCTGGGCCGATGCATACATGTGCCTGGTCCTACGTTGTAGCTGACTGACTGACTGACTGACTGTACTAGTTATTTAATTTCTAGACTAATTGGTATATATGGGTTACTGTTCAGTATTGTGTTATTACAATCAGTTAAAATCCCCAAACTTAGTTCAACTTCAAAACACTATAAAGCTACCTCATACTTTCCGTCACGAGTTGTTCACACTTCCTAAATATGTATTTATTTTTCTTGATTTTCAGGTGCCAGAAAATTTTTACAGGAATCTTAACAGTACTTTTCTTGTCTGGCCTGGTAGTAAATGTAGTCAGTGTCGCCGAATGGTTCATGCTGAGTGTGATCCTTCTTCCAACCAGACGACTGTTTCACCTTTATCTACTGCCAGTGAGGAAACAAGTGGTATTTGTTGCACCAATTACGTCTGTCCTGTTTGTCGAGCTCGTGGTTCAACGACACCGAGCGAGGTACGATTTAATTTAGTGTTCGTTACTTACTCAGTAACCAACGTTACCGTCAGGACTTGAAATAACTGCCGTATCAGAGTCAACCGATTACTATAAAAAACGTTATATACATATCAGTCACATGACGGCTACAATTTCAGTTTACTTTCACTTGACGCTAATTATTCTGTGTTAAATAATTCAGTCATTCTGAAGGCTGTAAATCACATATGTTCTAAAATCTCCCGAAAGAGTAAATGTTTAATCGATACATCCACAATTAGGAGTGAAGTAGTGAATCAGTGGGTTTGTGGTTAAGGCTTTTGACTTTTAGCCAATAAGTCTCTTGCTCAAACCCTTTCCATCTATTTCCGTTTGGGCAACTGAGTGGTATCATTAGCCCTCGTGTGGTTCATCTCCAAGCACATGGTAAATGAGTTGATTCCACCAGAATTTGAAGGTATGAACCCTTCCAAATTTTGTCGAGCTCACTATTTCCTGTATCTAAAAAAGCTTCGGGCGATCATAGAAGTCAATATCTTGTACAAGTTTAATATTCATTATTCTATTTTCTGTCTTCTTCTATAGACAGATTGTTAGCAATTGCAGACAATCAAAAGAAATAGCATCCAGTTCCCAAACTTTAGCTGTCAGTCACCAGTAATTCATAGCACCTTACTGCCATCTGTTAAAGACCTTTGAAATTCACCTATTGAAACTTGGTGCTATACTCACTTGAAGTTAGCAATAGTGTTCGGTACGTTCATAAAAGTTGGAAATTCAGTGTCCATATCTTATTAAAGATGTTGGTGGATATAAAATGACTAAAGGGTAGTTATAGAACAACTGAATTTCTGTATACTTCAATTGCTTCATTTAAGAGTGAATCATCATCTCGGCTTTTTCCACAATGATCTTTAACTTTTTAGCGTTGATTTTTGAACTACTAGGGTCATACAGTAATCCTTCCGTCGACTGAATTGTACATCCCAAATATAGATTGTGCTTATGATTTGCAACTGATCTGTCTGACACAACAAGGTTTCATAGACAAGTAGTGGGTTGTTTTCAATTCTAAGCCAATTATTTTTCATGTTTTTACTCAGAATACGTTTATTCTCGTCATTGTACTTATTTGAAGGTAACATTATATTCTGTCACTTATCTATACTCTGTTGGTGGGGCGTTTCCAATAAAACCAGTCTATTTCGAGTGCCCATATGACAGATAAGCTGACAATGTAGAACCTGGCAGTTGTTTTTGTCCAAGTGTGTGGCGCATATTTATTTGGTGCCCCCTTTGTACCAATGTTTATATGTTAAAATAGATGAAATTTTGTCCAAGCCGTCACATCTCACATTAAAGCCTAGCTTGACGATAGCGGCTTTTAACCTAGACAGCAGTGCACTAACCTGAAGACAACTAATATAAAACCTATCTCAATTCAAGTTCTTATTTCAACTTTAATTGCCAACTCTTTTGTTCGAATTGACTTTTATCTAATCCATTTGTTATTATGTTAAAATTGGAAAGTGTAATAAACAGATGTTCATATTGTATCTTTTTTTACCGCTAGGCTGCATCAACTACTGCTTCTTTACGTGCTAGCCCGATTCAGGGAGGTGGGAATAGTAGTAATAGTGGTGGCGATATTATGGATGAAAATTTTACTCAAGGAGGCCGGGACTTATTAGATGATACAGTTCGTCAGTGTATTGGGTCTGGTTCATTAGTTTGTCCTGGTGCTAATGGAAGTACATCGGCAAATACTCCGTCAAGCTCAACCTCTAATTCAACAACTCCGAATACTGAACCAGGAAAGCAACAAATCCACCTGAATAATCAAGATTATCCAGGGTCACCACGTGTACATTGTAAAGTGACCTCTAATAACAAGTCATCAGTAACAAATTCTACAAATGGCCGGCCATCTATAGATCAACCTTCTATTAATATTAGTAGTGGACGTAGGCGAGGAAACAACCAAACTAGTGATCTTAATTTTGCAAAAACTAATTCAGGAACACGGGTTTGTCCAATCTCATCTTATCTATGTAAACCTTATTTTCTAAACTTATTATTGTTGTTAAGTTCTTTAGTTCTCGATACGAAACTGAAGAAGTGTTTTACTGTTTCAGCATAAGGTTTCTATCTTTGAGTTACATATTTAATAACTTATCTTTTGAGTTCCTCGGTTGAGCTTCAAAATATCACTATAACGTAGATATTTTTAAAAAATGAAGATCTTAGCATTGGATCAAATGCTTGAATAACATGTATGCATAAATTCTATTTGAGATATGTGTTCATGTGTACTGTGTTGAAATATTTCTGAGGTAGTAACATTTTTTTGTTAATCAGAAAAAGTGCAAAGTAGATATTTGTATTATTTGTATAGAGTTTAAAGGGATTTTCCATTGTCATAATCATAAACCTTATTAATTATTAGTTTTTATTGCTTACATGACCATTCAAGTGTATAACTGTCAGTTAAGTATACTGTTCATTGGACGAACCTCAAAATAAAAAACTTCACCTCTCGCTGATGATTTAATAGATATGTCTTAGTTTGGTCATACTCTGCTTTTCCTAAGTTGAACCTAATGTGGCGAGTTAGACAAGTTAATATTATCACTAATCGATCATATAGTTGAAGGGGTTTCTCAAATTCTATAACTAGTGAAAAGTTATAGTTTTTAACCACTGATATATTTTCGGTAACCACGTATTCAGGACGTCAAATCGTAAACATGTAATGCCGAAGTATCACAGTGAAAGAATTAAGATATATCATTTCTAAATTAGTTAAACACTGTATTCACTATTCTAGCCAAGTGGTTGAAATTCATCCAATATTGAGATGAATTGTGGGAATAATTTGAATAATAAGTTATAGTATTTTATTTTAGTGAGTCGTTCTACATATTTTTCGAATTAGGATAGTATTATATTCTCTAAACTTTAAGCTTATTACGGTGTTAGTTTCTCTCGTGAATTTAATTTTTTTTTCTACCTTTAGTCCAACAATATAAACACCCAGACGTCGTTTATTGGAACTACAAAAACTGGCGCTTTAAAAAGAACTAATAGTTCTGCTACGTCGAATAATATTAATAAAAATAGGCGAACGAAAACTCGGAAAATCACTTCGGTATGTTATCATAGCATAGGTGTCTATTTATGTTTGATTACTTTTTTATTCAATAAGTAAATTAAATCACTAGGAATCCTCTTCAAAGTATACAGTTTTCTTGTATTATGACTGAATAGTAAATTACAAGATTCGTTTGATTCACATGAATTAAACAATACATGATATTTAATGTGCACTTGGTTATAAAATATTTTTATAGGTGTATATAAGTAATGATCTAAGTATAAAATTGTCATTTATCATGTTAATGAAATAAAATAGGTTTAACCTGTCGAACTGGATAAATTAGTATCGATGAACTACATCCCTCAAATAAAATCTATTATTCCAATAGATGAATTATTCATTACAAGTTATGACTAGTCACTCACTGAAAAGCTTAATTATGGTGCATATAAAGTCATTTTTACGCTGCTTTCATCAGAAGTAAAAAAGAATAAGGGTTGTGTATATTATTTAACGAGCCAACATCCAACTTCGTAATTGGCACACAAAAAAAAACCTGATATTAAAATACTGTATTGTTTCCCTTTTAAGACATCTAATTATATTACATTAAAGTTGTATGAATATAGACACTTGATCATACGATTCCTTTTTATTTGTGATGGAATATTTTGATTAGTTCATGTGATCTATGTAAACTGAGAGTGATGTCATAGAAGTCTTAGACAAACGTAAATGTCGGGACATAAAGTTATTTGACTGTTAAAAATGTATTTTCTCATTGTTATTAGAATCCCCTTTTATTGATTTATTTTTCTGTGAATTTAGTATGAATCCAAAGTCTCAGAGAAGGATGATCATCCTAGTACAGTAGTATTTTGTCGGGCAGATGACAATTTCATGCTGGAACAGGATATATGTATTGCATGTGGATCAATCGGTTTGGATACTCCTCTGTTGGCTTGCTCTCAATGTGGTCAATGCTACCATTCTTTTTGTGCAGATGTACCTAAAATAACACGAACTATGATTGAAAAAGGTTGGCGTTGTTTGGATTGTACTGTATGTGAAGGTTGTGGTGGAACATCAAATGAAAGTCTTCTACTTTTATGTGATGATTGCAATATTAGCTTTCATACCTATTGTTTAGATCCGCCATTGAAAGAAGTACCGAAAGTAGGTTCGAATAAAATTGATTATTTCCAAAATTTTATTTAGAGTGTTGTTTGAATGTTTATCAGATAGTCCTGTCAGTTTCTGTGTTCAAAACCTTTCTATACAATTTATTGTTTCTTTGTGTTCATATGATACAAATTTTACTTTCAGACTTTTTTACAAAAACCATTTATATTTCGTACAGGGTGGTTGGAAATGTGCCGACTGTGTTGTATGTACTAATTGTGGTCAAAAGGATCCTGGTCTTAACGGAAAATGGCACGCTAATTATTCTGTATGTGCACCGTGTGCGTCACTCACCACTTGTCCCATTTGCAATTTAGCTTATCGAGATGAAGAATTACTTGTTCGATGTGCATTATGTACTCGATGGGCTCATGCCAACTGTGACCAGTTGCGTACTGAAGACGAATTGGAAATAGCCACTGATCTAGGGTATAACTGTCTTCTTTGTCGTGAATTGGGGGCTGATCTCGGAACTGGGCATGCTCAGGTAAATTTATTCTATCTTTATTTGTTGAAAACAATAATCGCAATATATGAATGTAGTATTTTTAAGATTAAGTTTCTGTTATCGGTAACTATTTCTTCATTTGGGGTCTTACCAACATTTAGCGTGTCAAGACTGGCAATTACTCAATATATCTTAGTCGGTTATGCTGCAAAAATACTTGTTGATGAATCTATTTATTTGTTTTTACCAAGATTAACCATTGCTTTAATAGAGTCATGCTATCCGTCTTTGATAAGTGTTCTAGTAAGAACAAAGTATGAAATTTCAGTGTTTAATATTGATGATTACAAATAACAACAAATGAGATATATTTGTGAGAATTTTTCCAAAAAGTTATGAATTTAAGTCTTACTGATGTGATTGAGAAATATTACTGTGCCACCTATTCAATTGTCATAAAATCAATGGAGGATTCCGATATAGGTAAGTCGACATATCTTATAACATGTCATAGTTTTACTGGTTAAATCAACTGTTTCTATCCAAAAATCTTGAGTTTAACAATCACAAATTAGATGTTTTGGAGGATTTGCTACTACACATATAGTTATTTAGATATATTTTCAGTCTTTATTTTACTCAATGTATATAATTATACTGTCATGATGCGTTTATTTTTCTTTCGCTTTTAACTATTAGGTACTGGCTTACAGACAAGCAGCTAACGGGAATCTTGGGGCTCTGGAAAACCTGAAGTTTGGCGAAATTACCGAAAATCTGTTTGCTGACAAATTAGTAAGTGTTATTTTAATCGTAGGATAACTTCAACTTTTTTATTGTTTATTGAAAAAATTAGTTCCATTTTTTAAAATATATATTTATTGAAACAGTTTCGTATTTTTTATTTTTGAGGATATTATCAAACGTGGACAAATTGGGTTTAAAAAGCAAAATCACTTTCTTCAAAAGAGTAAATCCTTTTGATAAATGCAATGACACGAGGTTTATTAGCTAAGTTTGATCGCATTTATAATTGTTAAAACGTTTATGTATGGAAAGGTTAGAGGTCAACTAGAAAAATTGGAAGATAATAGAGAGAAATAATAAGAATCACACTTATGGATTTCGTTTCCTTATGAAATCTAAATGAAATCACTTTGCATCAAATCTGTTGGGTATTACATTAATCAGATAGGCTAATTAAGACTATGAACTATCTACCCTGATATAAAAAACGAAACATTTTAAGCTTAAATTTTTCATTTATTTGGCATAATACTTTCGTTATGATTTACAACCCTTTTGTTTATATTTACGGGCATTCCTGAGTTCTAAGAGACTGATCAAATAAAAATCGAATCCTCTTCAACTAAGAAAACTTGGATTTCTGATTATTTTTTAACATTACACTTTATGGAGTTAGAGAAATTTTCCGTTTTATCTTATAATCTGAACCAAATTCTAAAGAATTCTTTAAGAGGAATTTGTCCAAACCTTTCTTTACACATGTCAGTGATATCAATTTAAAGTTCTGGTAACCTAACAACTGTGCTCGTTAGATCAGTCAATCGGCAACATCGTAGAACTTCGTACGTACGTACATCAGTTCGAGTTGCCATACCACATTAGCACACAAATACAATTGTCGATTCAAATCCCGTAGTAGTATAGGTAGTAAGAGTATAAGCCGTACTAGGAAAGATTAAGGTTTGAAGATGTTATTCAAGGAGTATAATTCAGTGAAATAAATTTGGAAAGAGAAAGAAGGAACATGAAGAATTCAGAAGATTAGAATTTGGAAGAACACAGAGTGGATGCACCTGCGCGATTTCGAAGCTGCTACCTTGACGCGGTGGTCGGGCTTGCCTATCGTGATGACCCAACCGAGCTATATTGGCTGGAACATATGTTCCTGTAGGTTCTACCATGCCAGGCAGGTCGATTGGTGAACGGTAAGACTAAAAGCAGCAACTCAAGGTCTGAGGGCGAAGTCGTACTGCTGACTGTAGAGGGGTGTGACAGCAGTAAGGTGTTTCCTTCGGACAACCAGCATGACAGCGATGCTGCCTTCCCACAAGGAGGGGTGGGGTTAGAAAAGGTCGACCCTAAAAATGTCACACCTCACCTTACCTCACGGATTTCCGTCTCCGGCGGTAAGGCCCTTTGAAGAACGGAGCTAACACGTCAAAAACCTTCCACAAAAAGGCCGTGCGCGACCGGCCTCAAGCAGTTGTCCCTTGGGCTCTGCGGTCACGCTCCCAGGTCGTCAAGACCAACACTAATCCAATTTCCTTTTCAGGTTCCTCAAGAAATACCCTTCCACGGTGTGGGCAGCCGGGAAGTGACATCAGCCCTCATACCCGTAACAGCACAAGAGACCAAGGTGGTCACATTCAAATCCTTCCTACACCTCCTAATACCTCTCTTATCTCCATGACTAACCCTCCTCACGTCTCTTTATCACCTCGCACCGCTAGGGCAAACGATTCGAGTACGTGGAACGCCATTCCTGGTCTCCTGAAACCACGCTCTAAACTACACGTAGGAGCTTTTAACGTACGAACACTTTGCCAAATAGGACAGCAGGCTTCCTTAGCTAAAACTTTAGAATCTCGCGCCATCGATGTGTGCTGCGTCTCCGAAACGCGCATACAGGATCCAAGTAGCGTCATTCATTTGACCTCACCATGCCAAAATAAAGAACCGACTCGATTTACGCTTCGTGTATCTGGAAGCCCTGATTCTGCTTCCCGTGGCCTCGCCGGCGTAGGTATAGCATTGAGTCCTAGGGCAGAACTAGCTCTCTTAGAGTGGATCCCAGTAGACAGTCGTTTGTGCGCTGTCCGACTGAACGGAACAGTAAGAATCCGGAAAGATAGGGACACTCGTCGTTGCCTCTTCGTCGTCTCTGCCTATTCTCCCACTGACTGCAGCTCAGATGATGTAAAAGATGAGTTTTACAGAAAGCTTTCGGACCTTCTCCGAAAAGCTAAGCGCTCGGATGTAGTAATAGTGGCCGGTGACTTTAATGCTCAAGTAGGTAAACTAAGCGATAGGGAAAGACACCTAGGTGGATCTTATGGTGTCGTGGCTCAAAGAACAGATAATGGCGACCGTCTGTTGCAGCTATGCTCAGATAACCGCCTGTTCCTTGCAAATACTAACTTTAAGCATAAGGAAAAACATCTTTTAACATGGCGACCCCCTAATTCGTCCCAACGTTGGACCCAAATAGATCACATCGCTATCAGCCACCGATGGAGGGGCTCGATAGAAGACTGTCGCTCATTCTGGAGCACATGCCTAGATTCAGATCATGCTCTAGTGCGAGCGCGTATTTGCTTGCGTCTTACTGGACGTAGGAAAGACGCTGCAAGGAAACCTCTTAGGGCCTACTTAATGATAGTCAAGCTAAGAGTATATTTCAGGAACAACTAGGAAAACAGTTAGGCAGCCATGTATGTGATGCCCACCCCGATGCAGCATGGAATGATATCCGAAAAGCTGTGGAAACAGCAGTGATATCTGCTAGTAAGGTAAACCAGAAGGTTAGGGAGCAACACTGGATCTCAGCAGCATCTATCGCACTGATAGATGCTCGGAAACTCATTCCACCTGGCTCTGAACATAATGAAGAGCGGAGTCAGCTTAAGCGCAAGCTGACAAGAAGTCTACGCAATGATCGCGAACAGTGGTGGGTAGCGAAAGCAAGAGAGATGGAAAAGGCAGCGGCAATAGGTAATAGCAGACAATTGTTCAGACTCGTTAAGGAAACCGGAATTAGGAACCCGACCGTTAGCGAAACAATCTCAGAGAAAGATGGACATATTATTCATTCTCAATCCAGGAGATTGGATCGATGGGCAGAACACTTTAGGGATCAGTTCAACTGGCCTTCAGCCACACTTCGGTTTCCCACGATCTCTAGTCAACCTGAATGGCAAGTTAATGTAGGTCCTCCGTCTCTTTACGAAGTTGAAAAAGCCATAGGAAATCTGAAACGAGGGAGAGCAGCAGGCCCTGACAGGTTTACTCCTGAGATTTTTAAGGATGGTGGTCCAGTATTAGCAATGAGATTAACTGAGGTCTTAGGTAGAATTTGGGAACTGGACGTAATCCCATCTGACTGGTCTCAATCACTGATTGTGCCAGTCTATAAGAAAGGACAAAAGTCCTCTTGTGACAATCACAGAGGAATCAGTTTGACTAATATAGTGTCTAAAATATTAGCTTCAATAATACTTCGACGCCTAATCAAAGCTCGTGAAGAGCAGATTAGAGAAAACCAGGCCGGTTTTCGACCTGGACGTGGTTGTATAGATCAGATATTCACACTACGTCAGGTTCTAGAACACAGACACACATTCAGACGCCCCACAATGGTAGTATTTCTCGACCTTAAGGCGGCATTCGACTCTGTTGATCGTGAGGTTCTATGGCAGTGTTTGTCACTGAAAGGAGTACCAAAGAAGTACATTAACCTTATAAAGGCTCTCTACTCGAACACAACTGGTAGAGTGAGAGCTTATGGCGAACTGTCATCAGAATTGATTACCTCAAGTGGTGTTCGTCAGGGCTGTCCACTCTCCCCATTCTTGTTCAACTTTGTGGTCGACGTACTTTTAGAGATAACACTCTCCTCATCTAAATTTCCAGGGGTTGAACTTCTACCGGGAGGTTCACTTGTTGACTTAGAATATGCTGATGACATAGTTTTATTTGGTGAAGACGCTGACAAAATGCAGAGTCTTCTGACCACTCTAAGCAACAATGCAAGCATGTTCGGGATGCGATTCTCTCCCTCGAAATGCAAAATGTTGCTTCAGGATTGGGTTACATCGACACCCGAACTAGTGATAGGGAGTGAAGTAGTTGAGTGTGTCGACCGCTTCACTTATCTTGGAAGTCTCATCAGCCCTTGTGGTTTAGTGTGTGACGAAATCTCAGCACGGATACAGAAGGCTCGACTAGCTTTTGCCAACTTGCGTCATTTATGGCGTAGGCGAGATATCCGTCTATCAACCAAAGGACGTGTTTACTGCGCAGCAGTTCGTTCCGTCCTACTTTATGGCAGTGAAACATGGCCGGTAAGAGTAGAGGATATTCGTAGGTTACTAGTATTTGATCATAGGTGTCTTCGAAACATTGCTCGTATATCATGGGACCATCGAGTAAGTAACACAGTTGTTAGGAAACGGGTACTAGGTAAGGATGGCAAATCAATTGATGAAGTAGTGAAACTTCATCAGTTGAGATGGCTGGGACACGTGTTACGTATGCCCAACGACCGACTGCCTCGACGTGCTATGTTCAGTGGTATAGGAGTAGGTTGGAAGAAAGCTAGGGGCGGCCAAACCAAAACATGGCACAAGTCCATGAAGTCACTGACAAGTGGACTGAGTCATGTTGGTAGGTGTAGACTACCTGGTTGGGGACCGCGAGATGATAGCAACCGATGGTTAGAGACCCTGAATGACATGGCTCAAAATCGTTTGCAATGGCGCAGGTGCATACACTCTTTGTGTTCTCCCAAATTCTAATTTCCTGAATCCTCCTTGTCTCTTTTTTCCTCTTTCCAAATTTATTTCACTGTATTATACTCTTTAAATAACATCTCCAAACCCTAATCTTTCCGATTACTGCTTATACTCTTACCACCTCTACCACTACGGGATTTGAATCGACAACTGCATTTGTGTGCTAATGTGGTGTGGCAACTCGAACTGATGTACGTACGTACGAAGTTCTACGTTGTTACTGACTGACTGACTGACTGACATGCCATTCAAGGTCTCTAACCGTCGGTTGCTATCACCTCGTGGATCCCAACCAGGTAGTCTACACCTACCAACATGACTCAGTCTACTTGTTAGAGACTTCATGGGTTTGTGCCATATTCTGCTCTGACCGCCCCTAGCTTTCTTCCAACCTACTCCTACACGAGAAAACATCGCTCGTCAGGACAGTCGGTGGTTGGGCATACGTAACACATGTCCCAGCCATCTCAACTGATGAAGTTTTACTACTTCAATTGATTTACCATCCTTACCTAGTACCCACTTCCCAACAACTGCATTACTTACCCGTTGGTCCCAGGATATACGAGCAATGTTTCGAGGTTACCTATGATCGAATACTAGTAACCTACGAATATCCTTTACTCTTACCGTCCATGTTTTACTGCCATAAAGAAGGGCGGGACGAACTGCTGCGCAGGAAACCCGTCCTTTGGTTGGTCAAAGGAAGGACGCTACTCGGATCCTGTGTGTGTGTTTCGGAGACGCAGCACACATCGATGGCGCGAGATTCTAGAATCCTAGTTAAGGAATCCTGTTGTCCTATTTGGCAGTGTTCGAACTTTTAAAGCTCCTACGTGTAGTTTAGAGCGTGGTTGGCTAAACATATGTTCTCATTCGTTAGGTGTAAAGGATGTGAAATCCTCAAATACAAATTAATATCAATTTAAGTTTTTGTTACAGTATGAATTCTGTTCATGAACTTTCCACGGATTTTTCACTACGATTTGTGTTCATTTGCTGTTACTAAGTTGTTAAAATATAGTAACGTTTGATAACTGGTTATCTTTAAAGTATTTCGAATCTTACTAGGTGTTGATCAACAAAGCTTCTATACAACAACCAAACTGCTTACTCTAGTTAGTAAGTCTATGAAGGGGAGGGTAGAAGTAGTATCGTTCACCATGTTGAAGTTGCTGAAGAGTAGCTTAGCGCACAAACATATCATTCGGTCACAGTTTGCATTACAAAGTGTAAAATTAGACTATTCATATTAAACTATTTATGTTTTCGTGCTTATTTTTTCCACTTTATTTAGCCGTCTTCATTATTCCCATACTCTTCCACTGGAGTTGCATGTTTAACGCGTTCACAAGCAGATGATGACAATAGTTCATCAAGTGACACTCGGTAGGTACATAATTTCTTTTTTTTATCGTCTCAGGTTTAATTATTGATTTTAATAGATAAACTTGCAAATGTTTTTATTTCACTCTATTATTCAATTTAATTTAATTTATAAATTTTTAGTCAATTTTTCATGGATGGTGTTGTACTAAGTGAATGTGGCTTGAATACCATTAAACAAGCTCTACTTAAAATTCAACCGAAACGTCATACAAATCAAAAACGTCTATCAGATCAACAGAACCAATCAGTTACTGATACAGGATGTGAGTTATAATAGTTCTAAATATTTCTATGCCGGTTATTTTTTGTGTGGAAAACTTAGAAGTAAAACAATATCTAACTATAATTGATTTCAGGTTGTGCGGTAACCAGCTGGTTACTAAGTTGACTAATTGTTTCTGAAGGACAAAATTTACATACCATTTTCCAATAATATATTGTAGATATTTTCCCTACTGTAACATCTTTAATTTCGAATTTTTAAAACTCAGTTTTCTACCTGATAAATAATTGATCAGTGCAATGTGTTGTTAGTCAGAGTTGAGGAAGTACCATCTTTTGAACTGGATAAATGAAAATGTTTGGCACAAAGTTGCAATATTCTGATTGCCAGGTGTTTGTAAACAACTCGGTCAGTTCCTTAACCAGAAAGTCACCAACATCCTTATAAAGGGCCAGAGGTAAGTCGTCTGAACCTGGTGATTTGTGGTGCTTCAGGAGTTGAAGTTCTTTGCGGACTTCCGCCGCTTTAGGTAGATAAGTCGTCACAGGTTGTGGAGGGAAGGACAGTCTTGATCAATGTTGTCGGGGCAGCAGACCAGTTGAACTGCCTCTCGAAAACCTCTGCCCATCGTCCAAGACGTCGGTAGATGTTATCGATTGGCATCCCATCAGCTCCAAAGATTGTCCCATTCACATCAGACTTCTTGCTGCTAGCGACTCGGATGAGTTGAAAGAGCTTAAGACAGTTACCATATCCAGCTGCTGCTTCCAACTCATTGGCACGCTTTGACCACCAGGCTTCTCGGTCATTACGCAAGCACTGCACAATTTTATTGCGTAACAATCTCCGTTTACGGTCAAACTCGCGGTCACCCGGAGTAAACCGACGGGCTCCAACGAGTTGTAAGGAGCCTGAAGAAACCCAGTGCTTATAAGCAGGATGTTGCATGAAGCCACAAGCGACTTTACTCGCCATTTTCATGGCGTCGTGCAATTGCAGCCAATGCTCATCTATACTTTTCAGTGGGTTGCTGGCTAACCTTGAACCTAGTCTTGTACACAACCACTTCAGCGGTAGCTGGTCGTGATGTGATCAATCTGAGTTCAGACTTGAGATGCAAATGAAGGATACTAGGTAACACGTCGACGATGACAGTGTCGGTAGTTAGTGCTAGCCAGAAACAGGTTGTAGTATGCTCACAGTTGCAGTAGATGGTCACCGTTATCTGACCTGCGACCAACAAGTCTTCAATGCCCACCGAAAAAACTCTCCTCTGTGCGCATTCAAGTCTCCGGCTAGTACTATAGTATCTGTTGAACGCACTTTCTGTAGAAGAACAGTTAATTAGTAGTTTAACTCATCATTGATCGCATCCGGTTTGCAATTTGCCGGAGCGTAGGTGAATATGACAAAAAGACATCGTCTCTCACACCGATTTCTCCGTACTTTGATGGGAATTTCTAATCCAACAGCCCATAACGGACTGTTAATGAGGATCCAATCGATCAGTGCTGCCTCAGCTCTAGCACTTAATGCAACAGTAACGCTAGCAAAAGCAGACTTGGATAGAGGTATTAGAATATCATGTAATGATACAGAAGTTTTGGGTTGGTGTCCTTAACTCAACGTTTGCAAGTGTTTGTTGAGGTAACAGGTATTCCCGTCGAGGTGTTATTGTTGCAGTAAATGTAAGTTAATCAGTCTTGTGTTAAACAAGATACGAATTTCAGTAATCAATTTGTCTTTGTCAGAAAACATTGTTGTATGCGATATTTTAATATGGTTGGATTAGAAACCGTGTCATGTTAATAATTCTACTGTGCAAAATCGTATCTAGCGAGCTCTTTATTTATGAAACGTGGGGTTTATTTATTCAAATGGAATCACTGTTGTTGGTGTTAGCTATTTTTCTTGGATAATCATAGATAATTGTTGAATTTTTTACTATATAATCCTTTAAAAAGTTTTTCGATGGAAATTAATATTTCTCCCGTTTTATCCCTGATTACATTCAGATGTACTCTTGTTTACTTCTAGCTTGTTCCGTTGGTGATAGTACTCCAGTTGAACTAACTCCATGCGGACCTCATGGACAGGTGAGTTTGGGATCTGCTTGTTTTAATAGGTTGAATACAGAAAATTTCTTAATTTTCTTAAGTCTAACTATCCTAAAATCTTTACTATTACTTATTGGAATCACTGTCTTCAAATTGGGAAATGAGTTTTACAAACATTAACATCATGGTTGAGTTTGTATCTTTTCGCACCAATTTTTCTATGTGTGTTATTAGACCATTACTTCCAGTATATTTTTGTCTTATATTATTAGTTAATTAAACTTAGTATATGATATGAAACCGAGAAAGATTTTACTGTAAAACCCAATCCTTCTTAGGTTCCTTGACTTTCCTATTTGGTTGGTATTGTAGTGAACAAGAGCATGAGTGGGGACAATCGAATGTATTTGACACGAAATTACAGAGCATCTCACTAAAATCTGAGAACCATATAGTAAATAGTTAATTTGCAAAATATCAATCCATCGTCTCAAACTTGACTGTTCCTTTTGCAAATGTCAGTCCATTGTCTCAGACTTCATTGTTCATGCATTTTCATACCAATCGCGTTCCGTTTCCGTTCTTTCCTTCTCGATGTTCTACTGAAATACATTCTATGCCTGACCACAGTTATATACTACTTATATGGATATAAATAACCCACACCACAATATCATCATTTTGTACTCTTTAGCATCGCCTTAAACCTGTACTTTTCTGATAACCTTTATTTTTCACTTCGTTCCCAACACAAGAGTGTAACTTATTGAACCTAAACTACCTAAACTTTATCATACTCTGTTAGGGTTTCGATGTGTGTTCTCGTTGAACTATTATTAAAAACTGAAAATTCATTTAGTGTTTTTGGCTTATCAAACACATTGTGACCCGATTAAAGTTATTAGAGAATATGTTCATGTGAGATGAATTCTCTCGCAGTATTCTGCGCTACAATATCTTTTCATCCTAAGAAGAATTATCATTGCTGAATCACTTCAACTCTTTTCTAATGAACCAAGTTTTTATTGGTTTAATGATGTACCAATGGGTTTGTTCCTGAATTTTATATGCACACAAAATACTACTCATGTTTAGTTATCACATATTACTTTTTTTCTTTCTTTTTCTTGATACCTTCAATAATATTTTATCCTCTTATGGATGTTTTAGTTTGATGAAGATGCTTCACTACATTCTGGAGTTGATGGAGAAAATGATCTATCCAATTATCCTGATTGGAAATCTCCCAGCCTACAATCAGAAGAAGATGGCTGTAATTCAATACAAGATGGCACAGTTAGTTATACTAGTCAAAAATTAATATTCATTTTAAATGTTTATGGAATTAATGCTCGACTTACTTTTGTTGTGGGACTTGAATGTTAGCTGTTATTATTAATTAATTCGTTATTGTAGGTACATAATATTGAATGGCATAAATTATTTGTCCTGCATGGGACATTAATCTTTGCTTTGTTGTTGTGCTTAATCACTGAATTTATTCTAATATTTTCTCCATTTTTTATCCCATAAATTACTATTGCTCATCTGTAGTTTCAATAATTTTCTTCCTAAATTTATAGCTATTAAATTAAACTTTATTGTCGTTCAGTTGATCTGTACAAAATTATATATAATTAGTTTAGTTAGACCAGTAAGCGTTTGATCCGTTTACTCGATATCAACAAATACGCTGGTTAAAACGTTGATAATATTGATAATCGTAATAAAATGGAGTACGTGATCTCGATATGTATAGATTTTATTGAAACACTGAAATTTTTCTGGTAATCCCTGTGATCAACTGGTAATCTGATGATAGTTTCTTTAAAATTACTTTTTACAATAGCGATTTTCATAATTACGTCTTATTTTCAGAAAAATTTACTCGTGGTTTTAGAATAAGAGTTTATGGATTACAGAGCGAAGTGTTGTACTGTTTAGTAACATTCCTGTGTGTGTCTTCTTGATTCTCTTAGGTAAGCATACAAGATGATTTTCTCATAGGATGTTCAATTCTGAGATGGTAGAGAGGATTCGTAGCTCAGGTGGATGATATTTATGGAGTTTTGTTCTTTGAGCGGGATGGTTTGGTCGTGGGGCTTTCACCGTTATTCTAAACGACATCATCAGAAAAAACTTCACGTAGGGCTTCTACCTAAGGTTTGTGCTGATGTCGTCCAGAATAACAGTGAAAGCTCCATGACCAAACCGTCCAGCTTAGAGAATAAAACTACATAGAAATGTTCAATTCTTAATGACTTCAGTTTTGCCTGGTATAGAAGGGTGGATTTAGTCATTTGGATAAGTAAGTAATAGTGAGGTTAGACGGAGGGTATTAGGGAATAATGGTAAATGCGTTGATGAGGTTGTAAATCTACATCGACTAAGATGTTTGGTCCACATATTACGCATACCCAACCACGGACTACCACAGCGCGCAATGCTGACTAGTGTTGGGGACGGATGGAGGGAAGTTAGGGGTGGTCAAACCAAAACGTGGTATCAATCCACAAAGCCACCAACTTCTGGTCTGAGCCATGTTGGTAGATGCAAACCACTTGGTTGGGATCCACGTGACTGTCGTAACTAATGGTTGGAGACTCTGGGTGATATGGCTCAGAATCGATCACAATAGCGTCAGTGTATACACTCTTTGTCCTCTCCTAAACTGTGAGATTAAAATTACTTTGCACCTTTCATTCTACGAACTAATTCGTTCTTCCTGTATTATATCCTTATACGCAATCATTCTTTTATATATTACTACCATTGAAGTAAATACTTTTATGAATTTGGTGTTCTTGTTGTGCTCATGAGATGTGGCAATTTGGACTGATGCATATATGTGCCTTGTCCTGTGTTGTAGATGACTGATGACTGACTTAGTGGTTAGGACATTCGCGTTTTAATCAGTAGGTCACTGGTTTGAACATTTACTTCGGTTTGCGTAGCCGGACAGTATCATTAGTCCTTGAACAAAAAATGTATCTGGAAGCCCAGTACGAACATATGTGTACGTTAAAGAAGTTACATATTTATTATGAAATCAAACTGCATGATTTTTGTTGTTATCTATTTATCTTGTTAACCTCATCTGAGTAAGCACTCGCCTTCGGATTATTGAATAATTACTGTCCATCGTATATCTTATTAAACTGTCACAGATTTAAACCGTGTTATTTGTCACATTTCCCAGCCTAGTATCTCTACTTATGGTAATGTTGACCGTCATAATATTTACTTGTTTGTAGGAAGTCTTTTATTAATAACTTTTCCAGATTAGACGAATCTTCATTAGAAATAAGGTTTGATCGATCAATTGTGTTGTTTCGTTTTATTTTTATCTTGTTCATCCTGTTACTAATTTTGTTCAAATCTGTTAATTTGACATGAATTTATGTACAGTGATCAACTTTTAGATTAAGGTTCCACTTAGTGGTGTTTTCGGTTTTTCTGGTATTTCGCTTTTCTCACGCATCGTTTTCCTGATTACATGGAGTTTCTTTATTTAATTAAAACTTTCACTTTTATACTCTTTTGTATTTGTATATTTGTTGAATTATTTTTTCTGGTCAGCGTTTTTTGGCGAGTTAGTTTTCTACGGGATGGGGTCGCTCAGCCCATGCCCAACCCTCCCCATTTATCCCGGCTTGGGACCGGCGGTAACTCTGGAAGAGCTACAGGCGCAGTTTTATGCATTTGTGCCTTCATTTATTGATCTGTTTATTTTTGATTGATCGTTTTCAAATAGTCATCAACTGAATGCTAATAATTTCTTTTCTAATGATTTCAATCTATAAAATTTTAACGGATTGTCTTTCTGACACAAATTTTCTCTAATATGCCATACGAATTTGAGATTTTATACGATGATTAGCTATTTCACTATTCCTAATAGAGAGCTTAGCTGAGAATGGATTTTATTTAATATTCTATCATTCCTATCTATGGTGGATAATGTATGAAATTGATAAAAAAAATTAACACTTGATATTTCAATCAACTAGTCAACTCGTCATTTTATATTCCATTAATTTATAGTAATCGTTTACTGAAATAAATGTACACTTATGTTTTTTATTAATCATGGGGAAAGTGCTAGATGCTCTTAAATTGCTTATTAAAAGGCCTGGAACTAGTTTCCAAACTTACTGCTTCAAATCATCAGTGTGTATATAATATCCTAGGTACTGATAGGAGATTTACTTAAACATCATGGATGTAAATTATTTTCAAATTTCTCATGTCAACTGATAAAACGTTTAAAGTGAAAACCTGTCTTGTCTATATGATGTTCCATTCTCTAACTTTTAAAGAAAATCTTTCTTATTTATTTAGCGTACTTCATTATGCATCAGTCGCAATAGTTCTGCTGGTTCTATATCAGTTAACGGAAAACCACCACAAACAATTCCAATCGTAATCGACCACTAAAAAATCTTGGTATTGGAGGCTTTCGAGCTAAACCCAATCGCTGGTTGCAAGTATGTCTTCTTTTACTGAATATTCCCTTTTTGAGTTTCTGGGTGAGGGGCACATATATTTTGGTGCTCCTTTGTACCAGTATTTCCGTTTAAATTAATATATAAATCTTAGTTTCTGTAGGTTTTATTATTGTTACGTAATTCGACTTGACTGAACTAAGTTTTTCATTCTTTCATCTTAAATATAGACTAAAAAAATACAGCTTGCAGCCGCATCTGATCAGTTTGTTGGTCCGACGTCCGACAACAAACGTAGACGTCAGAACAAGAAGAAATCCGAATTGGAAGACCACTATCCTAATTATTTAATGAAAGCTTTTTATGGGGCATGTTGCTTTCCGCTAAGAGAAAACCACTGAGGAAGAAAAAGCGCATACGTCCAATTGGCTCATCACAGGAACCTACAATTGGATCTGAGTCTGTAAGTGGAATTAAACAGAACAAAGGTGGATTTACTCTTTCTGTTCGTTCTTCTAAACTAATTAAAGTAAGCAGTCAGTAATAAAATTTTAGTTTGTCGTTTATTTGATTGCATTAGTAAATAATATAGTGGATGCTGCTTCGGTTTGGGCAACCGGGCAGTATCAAAAGCCCTTACAAAAATCATTGATAACTACGACTGGGAAAATTTCTCTTGCTTCAACGCTTTCTCAAGCCAATTTTATTCACAGTCGTATTTACATTCGTTTTTATTTTTTTATACTATTTCACTTATCTACTTTCTTTTATTCTCAATTTGTGTATTCGTATTTATCAACTTATACCCCAGTTCGCCTATGGTGGAAACCCTGTCCTATCTAAACGATCTCGAGTCACTGACTGGTTGAAATTTGCATGCTGCCACCGAATACGAATACTGTAACAGTCTTTCTGAAACCACATGTACCATTCAAACTTGCTTCTTTCAACGTCCTCACAGATTGGAAAACAGATAGAGTTAGCTGTGTTTTTAGAAAGCCTTAATATCGATGTCTGTCGTCTATCAAACACCCGTATTCAAGACTCGTGACATACCACAAATTCGCCCTCCATCTGTCGCTTCGAAAAGCTTGTTTTACGTGCGTTTATCCGGGGCTCTATGGCATCTTCGTCTGGTTGCTCTGGCGTTACTGTTGCATTAAGTGCTAGAGCTGAGGCAGCACTGATCGATTGGATCCTCATTAACAGTCCGTTATGGGCTGTTGGATTAGAAATTCCCATCAAAGTACGGAGAAATCGGTGTGAGAGACGATGTCTTTTTGTCATATTCACCTACGCTCCGGCAAATTGCAAACCGGATGCGATCAATGATGAGTTAAACTACTAATTAACTGTTCTTCTACAGAAAGTGCGTTCAACAGATACTATAGTACTAGCCGGAGACTTGAATGCGCACAGAGGAGAGTTTTTTCGGTGGGCATTGAAGACTTGTTGGTCGCAGGTCAGATAACGGTGACCATCTACTGCAACTGTGAGCATACTACAACCTGTTTCTGGCTAGCACTAACTACCGACACTGTCATCGTCGACGTGTTACCTAGTATCCTTCATTTGCATCTCAAGTCTGAACTCAGATTGATCACATCACGACCAGCTACCGCTGAAGTGGTTGTGTACAAGACTAGGTTCAAGGTTAGCCAGCAACCCACTGAAAAGTATAGATGAGCATTGGCTGCAATTGCACGACGCCATGAAAATGGCGAGTAAAGTCGCTTGTGGCTTCATGCAACATCCTGCTTATAAGCACTGGGTTTCTTCAGGCTCCTTACAACTCGTTGGAGCCCGTCGGTTTACTCCGGGTGACCGCGAGTTTGACCGTAAACGGAGATTGTTACGCAATAAAATTGTGCAGTGCTTGCGTAATGACCGAGAAGCCTGGTGGTCAAAGCGTGCCAATGAGTTGGAAGCAGCAGCTGGATATGGTAACTGTCTTAAGCTCTTTCACTCATCCGAGTCGCTAGCAGCAAGAAGTCTGATGTGAATGGGACAATCTTTGGAGCTGATGGGATGCCAATCGATAACATCTACCGACGTCTTGGACGATGGGCAGAGGTTTTCGAGAGGCAGTTCAACTGGTCTGCTGCCCCGACAACATTGATCAAGACTGTCCTTCCCTCCACAACCTGTGACGACTTATCTACCTAAAGCGGCGGAAGTCCGCAAAGAACTTCAACTCCTGAAGCACCATAAATCACCAGGTTTTTATGACTTGATTATGCGTATGATATTGTCTTACTTTGCGATGATACCCAAGCCATGCAATCCGCACTTAGTCAGTTGACAGTCAGTGTCCGTAGGTATGATATGTGCTTTGCTTGCACGTTCTAAGTTGAAAGTACTTTTACAAGAGAGGCAGGATTCTAATGCCGTACTCACCCTGGTTAGTGAGCGTCTGGTAATCGAGTACTCCGTGTATCGGTGTAGCTGCGTAAGTGCTGGTGGTGGCGTTTGCTTTATGATGAATCCACTCGTAGTGAGGGCCAGAGTGTCTTATGCTGATGTGAGCCATATTTGGTGCCTTCGTAATGTCAGTCTGGTTGTAAAAAGTCGGATCTACAACGTATCGGTGACACGTTTTCGCTCTTTGCTTGTGAAACCTGGCCTCTCCGAGTTGAGGACGTTAGACGACTCTCTGTGTTCGATCATCGCTGTCTCCGAAGGATTGCTGACATCGAGTCGCAACACCCTGTTAATAATGCAGAGGTTCGGCATTGTGTTCGGGCTCAGTGGCGATAATTCAATTGATGTCAGTATCTTGAAACATCGACTTCGGTGACTCGGACATGTTCTACGAATGTCGTCTCAGAGAATTCCACGTCGTGCATTATTTGGGGACGCTGTGACTGGTTGGAAAGAGCGGAGAGGTGGTCAGTGTATGACATGGTGTCGTGGTATGAAAGAAAGCTGCAAGGAGCTGGCTTCTGTTGGTCCTTCTCGACTCCCTGGCTGGGCTCCGAGAGATGGTGTAACACAGTGACTAGAGACGTTATCAGATATGGCTCATATTAGAATCCATTGGCGATCCTACTGTAACTTTCTTTATTTTCCTCATAAAAATGATTGTAACTGTTTCAGTTTCAAGAGTTCTTTCTGGTTACAATTTTTCTAATTGAACTGTTTCTATTATTATCATTATTATTATTATTATTATTATTACTTCACTCTCATACACTTTCTTTACGTTGTTGTTCTTCTTTTCTTATACGCACTTTACATCCTCCAACTCTTCACAACCTCATTGTTATTGTGTGGAGCATATGTATTTGGTCCCCCCTGTACCAATGTTTATGTACTCATGTAAATAAATATAGTAGATGTTTATTTTGTCGATACGTATATTTTTTCTATTTTTAGGGTGGAGCACACATAAAAAAGTGTAATGTTGCCCGTCTTGGAAATCGAACTAAATCAGATGATTATAGTTTAGATGGAGAATGGACAGAGTCAGGTTCAAGGGATGAAGAGTTTGAAATCGGTACTGAAGAAATGGATGAAGACGACGATATTGATGAGGGTGATGAAGAATATGAAGAGGATGATGACGTTGATGGAGATCTATGCGATTTTGATGAACTCAAAGATCTAGAAGATGAAATGGACAATGAAGCGTTAGACATTGAAGAAGAAGATCTGTCAGCTACACTGAATCCCGCTGCCCATCAATTAACTGAAAGAGTGTCGGAGATAAAAATGACTGAAAGCTCTACTGATACAGATATATTAAAAACTCAAAAAGATAATACCGAAAATGTTAGTGTAGATGAAAGTGTTTCTCGTGAACTTTCCGCAGTTGACTATAATGACAACCAAACTGTGTCGTCTAGAACTTGTCCACCAGTTAATTCTAATTCACAAGATAACTATTGCATAACTTCAGTGAGTGTCAGTCAATTCAGTCCGAAATCACAAAATCTGGTTAGTCCTTTGGATCCTTCTGTTGATACTGTATCAGCTGAAACAGCTCGTGTTGCAAGTGTTGTTCATTCATCAAATAAAGAACTCAGTCCTCATATTGATTTGTTGTCTGCTCAATCGCCCCAGGAACAGTCAACGGAATTATCTGTGACAACTAGCTTGGTGGGGCAAAATGCTAATTCTGTTACACAAGCTACTACGCCAGCGGGTAAGTTTTTAAGTTAATGATAGCACTTAATAGGTCATAGAATGGTTGTTTTATAATTTCTTTAGATCTCATAGTTTCTAATAATACTTTCGTTGGATTGATCGATTATGATTAACAATTATTCAGTAAGATAAAATTTTCAATGACACCTCATTTTCCCCCTTGATATCTAATTCTCTGCATTTGTAAGTCCATTTGTTGGTTGGTCCGTCAATAGATCTGATAAAGTCCCAATTGGTACTATTATTCATCAAATATTCATTTTTTTGTGAAAACACATTTGTATAAAGTAATTTTGGTGAAAGTACTGGTTTGGTCCAGTTTTGTACTCATCGGTTCAATATTTCTGCATCTTTTAGATTCTTATATATGAACATAATGTAACTGAATTTAATTTTATTCAGATCCCTTTTGCTTTGCGTGGAGTCACACTTTATGTTGAGTAAGCTGGTGCTTGTACGTGACTGTCTTATCATGAAACCAAATGGCTGAAAGACAAGCTCCTCAAGTAATCAAGCCATCATTTAGTGAAAAACTGTAGAGTGTGCAACCGTATATACTATCCATTCAGTATTTTTCATTACAAATTCAGGATTTTAAATATGCAATCTCTCTTAGCTTTTGTAAAGAACTACAAAAATTCATAAGTTCAATAGCGATGTATTGCAGATTGCCACTACATTGATGACCTTAAATTCCGAACTGTAATATTCCCCTTTTAGATCATCAACGATAAGATTTATACCGAAAACTCTGTTTCTGTGTTTTGGACGGTTATGATGTATTTATTATTCTGAAGATATGTTCTACATAAATGCGTATAGTTAATATCAGTATATCATGTCTGTTCAATTTTGAATGAATTATGCATCTAGTAATTGATTATTCATTTCCATAACTTGGATTCTTATTTAAATAAATGTTGCGGTTAGTGTCCAAAAGATGCAATTCATTTGCTTGTTATAAATGATCGTGGGCTTAATTTCTTTTCACTTATCATTACTAGGTTTAAATGAAGCCGCGGATCTTATGTTTATGGATGATTACTTATTTGGATTTAGCGATTTGGCTTCTACAGATGAAACTGACTTAAACGATATAACCCCTCAACAAGTATCTGCAGATCATGTAACAGATCAATTACAAGCTCCAAGTCCTTTACCAGTGGGTCATTCAAAGAACCAGTTGAAACAACCGGTATCAAGCGAAAGTCCAGGTCATGTGTCTTTCATATATTCTCAAAACAATCAAAATATACAGTCGTCCGAAAGATTCGTCATTTCTAACAAAATTGTCTACCAGTCACAGGTTTCGGAGCCTTTCAGAATGGAAGAGTCTACTAACTCAGAAGGGATGTGTTTGAAGCAGTTCGTCGCACAACAAGATTTAATAAGTTCGCCTTTCGACAATCAAAGTCAACAAACTCATCTTGGCTCTGCTAACAAACCTCATTATCCGAAGTCACCATATATAGGTCATTCATCCACAACTTATCTCCAGATGGTTGAAGAGCAGCATCCTCGCAATATGCAACGTACTGTGCATCCAGAATCGCAACAATCTCATCTAGTTATTCAGGATCAACAGGTGGGTTAGCCAGTTTTATTCTTCAAACCACTAGAGAGTTTTTAAGATCAATTTTCAATGAGTATCCCTTCAAAATATTTACCAGATTATTCACTTATATTTTGGTTTATCTTTTTTTCTGTATGAGTAGACCCGTAAAACTGGACCACAATCAGTCCATGATTCTTCCGAAGGGTCCTTGAATCAGCTAGTCGATACTGTCGATGTATGCCCTCCAAACAATACAATCTTAAATGCTTATGATATGCCGCCTCGTGATACTAGTGGTCATGATCTTGGATCCTCGCAAAATGTACCTGGACCTCATCCACGACATTGTGTAAACACGCTTACGGGTAATCTACCTGAGTTATCAGTTAGTGATATTGAAACGCAACTTGGACCTTCAACTGGTTTTGAACTTAGTGAACCCAATTTGGCTGACGACAGTCCAAAATCAATTATACCAAATGCTGTATTTAGCAATGAGTTGAGTACTACACCTCCACCTTCCGAAATATCTATTCAGCGCATGGCACAACAACGGCAAAACGTAGTTCATCCTAATCCTGATTCAGTTCGTCAGTCTTATTCTCAGCGTCCTGTAGATCAGTGCAGGGAATATCAACCAAGCAACCAGTCCATCAATGTTCAACAACATCAGATTCCTCGCTCTTCTCTTGTGACGGTTCCAGTTCCTCAAAGTCAGGTTCGACCTATGCAACAACAGCATATAGATCCTCAAAGTGAGTCGTTCGTTTTACTTTCTTCATATCCATTGTGTATTGTTGTAGTAGATCTTGGGTATATATATAGTTATTTCAACTATGTCATTTGTAATTTAGTTACAGCGATCAGCAAACATTAGTTATATTGCAGACATTCGTCATTTTATTTTTTAGGTGGTCGAGTGCAGATAAGGAGTTCACAACCTTCATACTTTTATGCTCATGTTGTTCCTGTTCCTGGACGTGTTTTAACTCAACCTCAAAAGCAACATCAGCAACTTCAACGTCAGTCCAGTTCTCCTATTGTTTTGCAAAGTCCAGTTCCACAATCACCACAACAACATCTTTCAGTGGTTAGTAGTCATGGAAAATTCATTTCACAACCTCTTCAACCCAAATCTCCTAACCCAATGACTCCTCCACCCCCACCACCATATCCTTCTCAAGTAATAAGACCTGGTATGTGGCCACAACAACAACAACAACAACAACAACAATCTCATTCTCGTTTAATTTCATCTAATCCAGGAGCTATTATGCTTTCTGCAACTGGACAATGTTTAGTTCCTCAAGGTTCGAATTCAGCACAGTTACTTATGTCATCTCCACAGTCAAATGTACCTATGGATACTCAGCATCTTATTCCAGTTTGTTGTCAACAGAGCACTCAAATTGAATATATACAACGTCCATGTGTATCTCATCCTATGCATGGCTCAAATGGACCTCAACGAACTCCATCAACACAGCAAATGATTGTACATGGTCAGGTTGGATTGCACAACCAACCTGTTCATGTTTATCAAACTGATCATATCACTTCACCTAATTCTCGTCAGTTTACAGGTCATCCTAACTCTCTGTCTCCTGGAGTTCTTCGTTTTAACAGTGGTTCTGAGGAGGTGATTTTAAGATGTTCCACTGAACTTCAAAATCCTAATAATGTAATTAGTCCCAGTAAGTTATACCATTTGTTTTAAACAACATTTTAAACACACAAATTTGTTAATTTGAACTTTAATAATAAAGGAATCATTCATATTTTTAGAATAGTGGGATAACATGTAATTTTGGTAATTTAAAACTAGTCCGCATTAGATAAAAGTGGATGAGAAAATAGAGATTTTTTAACCATGTGTCGGTTATTTTCAATTTTGACTTATTTACATACTAAAATGTGAGTTAGATATAATAGTATAGAACTGAATCTTCAGCTAGTTTGGATATATATTATTGTTTTTCACATAGTGCTCTACTTTCAGTTAAGAATTCCAACTGATCAAGGTTAACTTGTTTTTGTACACGCGCGTGTATGGATATGTTTCACAATCTCTAATATACACATTACTTTTCAGGACTAATTTTATGATACAGTGAAAACTAAATTGAATATAAATCATGAGAGATATACATAATAGTGTCTGAATAATATTACATATCAGTGATGGAAGTATAAATTTTAATTTTCAAGTTGCTAAGCGGATCACAATAGATATATCTCATTTCTTACTCCTTACGTTACTTGTGTAGTGATACATTTAGTACATACCTTGAATAAAATTTTTCACTATTATCATTTCCATTACTTGTTTATTGATTTGATTTACACGAGAAAGTTGAAGCTTAGGAGTTACACGATGTCAAGAATCTTTAGTCGGGGTGAACGAAACGCAGCATGCGTTTGAATGATTTATGCTTTTCTGTGAAATAGAGGCTTTAGTGATTTCTATTTGTTGTTTTTATAGATGAACGTGTATACTATTTTCTTTCCTCATATGTTTTATTCATGTAGACGACTCAATGTTTTGCGCTGTTTGACAGTACACCGTTTATTTTTTTTAAGTATTTAATCCTTATTTTTTAATTTCAGATTCTATGAGATCACCGAATATGGAAGGGAATACCCATCATGTTGTTTTGAATCGACCAAGTCAACAAAATATTTTACCTTGTACAGCATCAAACAACACACAATTGTGTATGCCCAATTCAAATTTGAACGTTTCCAATTCAGCTAGTAGACGTATTAATTACCATAAATGGGAAGAAGATGAACGTCTAGGTGGTCAGTCAACAATCGCTCCAGTGTTGCATGCAAATATATCACATCCTACACTGCGTGGCCAGTATCCTGAATTCACTGTTCGTGCTAAAGAAATTAGCAAGCTTTGGCGTAGACTTTCTAGTGAAGAACGTGGAACTTGGGTGGTGAGTAGTGTATTGATTTTGGGTAGTGTTCTAGTTCATGTTTATCTTCATTTCGTTATCATCTTTTCACTCACCAGTGTATCATCAAATCAACTTTATTTGTTCGCTTTAATGTCAGATACAAGCTCGTAACAATCGAACTACACTGCGTTCAAATCAAACAAATATACCTACAACTATGGGCTCAATAGGGATTTCTAACACAATGCCACCTACACAGCCGTACTGCCAACCTAGTACATTGGTCAATCAAACAATACCCTTACAATCTGGTTCTGAGTTATCTTATCCTATAGAATCTCCTACAGCCTATACGCGTCCGCAAAATCGTACACCTCATCATATTCAGTCGGAACAACAAATGAATACGAACTCGCCGCAACAGACAAAAGAGCTGCATAGATCGTTAACTCCTGAAATTCCAAACAACAGTTATGTCCAGGACCGTATTCTGTCGTCGCATATGACTTCGAGTAGTAATAGTAGTGGTGATTCTGTTGGTGCTCACCATCAGACAATAAACAAGGTAACTTTTTGTTTACAACAATATTCTTTTATCTACAAATATAAAACATGTCATCATTTGTGCAAATCTTGTCGTATTTGCATCAATTGAGGAATTATTTTGAGGGAGCAATTGAAAATTTGATAGATTGTGGTTTATTTAGAATATCATGGAGGAAATTCATCCTTCTGTGAAGAAATGATTTGTTTAGACTTGTTTTTCTGAATCGTTTAATCTTTTAATTTCTGACTGGTATTTTCCCTTGTTAAAATATCCAGAATTAGAAATCAATCAATATTTGTAATTTTTTATTACACTGATAACGTTAATTTCAGGAAGTGAATAGGGCTAATAATTTTTTAAGGGTTCATCAACCAACTTGAATATTTTAATATCATTATTATACATAAAATGCTTGTTACAATAAGACACCAACAAGTAGGGCACTCGGTAAAAAAGGAATATGATTTATACAACTGAAAATCATGTTATCAATTAATAAATTTTAATAGAACAAAGTATCCATAGTTATCCTCGGCTATGGAAGGTCAGATTTTTCATTTATGATACAAAGTCGTTTGCATTGGTGAACTGTAAGCACAGTTTTTTTAGTTACATCAACGTTGATATTGTTTCCAGATACTACTTGAAACATAATTTACGTATCTTTCACTCAACTTTCCATTGTGCAAAGTAGTTTAGTATTTTATTTAGCACTATGAGTCAATTAATTGAACCCTTTAAGATAATCCGTTTTTAGAAGCCATCTTAGTATGGTACTTTTCTTTAATTGTGTTATTCGATGTTTGTTTAAAGCTAACTTATCTTTTATTCCTAGCCTCCTTCGAATCAGGGTTTGACGTTCCCTAATACCGAACTAAACACATCTGGTAACGTTCTACCTCAACAACATCAGCAAATGATTGGATTAACAACACCATCACCAGGTCCTTCCTACATGGTTTCACCTGTGAATTCCAGACCACCATCCCGTCACCAGACATCATTACCACCTCCTCCACCTATTTGGCCTCCTTCTGGAAATATGAATTCATTGAGCACAGGATCTGTAAGTGTAAATTCTCCTGCTAATTTGAAACAACCAACACCACCACCTTCTGTGTGTTCGTCAATGTCTCCTGCGCCCATAAGATCACCTGCTTCAATACACGCTCCCACCCCAACTTCTTTTCATATTCCTCATCCATATCCTCCACATGGTACAAGTTCACTAACTAGTCCAGCACAATCACCTGTCCCTCCACAGTCTCCGTCCAATATAAATCAGCTAATGAGGAGCAGCACCGCTGGAACAGCGACACCAATGCCTTCGTCACATCCTTCTCCTGTCCCACAATCTCATCATACAATTTTACCTAGTGGTCATCATCTTACTTCACAGGTGGTTAGCTAATTTTTTTGAAATTGTTTGTCTCTTCTGAGTACCCTTTTTAGGTGCTTTTTTGTACTGTTTTATATCGGAATCTTAGTCACATTCTCATAGTAGTTCATAACATACTTGGGAGTAGAAGTGAATTATTAATTTATTAGTTTAATCACTCATCTTCTAAACATGTTGCAGTCTCGAAATTTTCTTTACCTTCGGCAGTTTTAGTTCAGGTATGTCAGGGAAGTCCTACTCACTGTATTCTGGCGGCAGGAGAATTGTTTTCTGAATTGAGAAGGCGAAAGCAAATATCCGTCTCCTTAACCGGGTCGGTGGACACAGAGGGTCCACCTAGGGGAGTTGGAAGACCCTGATTCCAAACCAATGGTGCATATGGGCTCCAGGATCCTGTGGAAACAACTGACTCATAAACCTGTCGGTCACCGGCTACAATGGGTTTGCACCTTCCTACGTTTCCCCACTACCTGGTGGGTTAGACCTTCAGGTCAAAGGATCGGGGTGTGGCACCCGGGAAGCATCACAACCCTCACACAAATCAATGATAACTACTGGCCTCATTGTTATTGTGTGGCACATATATTTGGTACCTCCTTGTACCAATGTTTATGTGTTGAAATAAAATAAATTTCAAATAGTAATACTTATATCAATAGCTGAACAAGCTAATTTCTGATTTCTGATTGGGTTGTAATCATTAGTTCAGCTCCAACCGTTTTTCAACATTGAACCATATTATCATCCAGATATTGTGCAGTGGTTTTGATTGGGATTCGACCATTTTTTGCTTGTGTATTTGTAGCCATGTGTTTCCCTGATAAATTAAGGCCTAGTAGTTAATTAGCTCATGCATCATTTTATTGTGAATCGCGAGGTGTCTACACTAATTTCTACCGATTGACCAGCTTCAGATATCCCAATACGACCCCATTACTGTTACCCAATCTCCAATATATGAGAACACGAACCGTAGATGAAAAATTGTTTATGGGGTCAGGAGCAGAATAATGATTTACAAACAAATGCATAATTATACAGTTAGGATTACTATAAATGCTGGCCAACAGAAAAATGACACGTGAATAAATATTGATCAGTAGGGAACGACCAATAGAAAAATGACACCATTTAACGTTCAAGGGTAGCATTAGACTTAACCGGATAATTGTTTTTGGGATATTTTTCTGAATATCCCAACACATTGTTACTTCTAGTTTTTGTGTCTGATTGTCGGTTTCGTTTATAGCGCATGGTTTTTTAAATATTTCAGATAACATTTTTCAACTTTTCATCTTATTACAGAGTTTACTCCCCTCCGAAAGTTCAGTTAGTCGACAGCAAAACCATTCTTTTGCTGCTTCTCATCCTGCTACTCCTGGTACGCCGAATAGTCAGTTATGTGGTCTTGGGAATACATTTTCAGCGCCTACCACTCCTGGGGCTGGAGCTTCTCCGGGTAATGTTGGTGTGCTTTCTTATTCTGCCCCGACAAATCCAGGGAATGTTTTTATTGTGGGTAGTTCAGCAATGCATGTCAGTAGGATGACATCAGAAGGTGATACATCTCAGTCAATTTATTCAATAAATACACTTCCACAATCTTCATCTAATGAACATGTCTCATCGTCTTTACCAGTTGCTGTTGAGCAAGGCCCGTCTGTTGGCAATTATACTGGCTCACAACAGCAGGCTCATACACAGCAAGGTAACTATTCCAGTACCGAGTTGGAACGTCAACGTCTTAAGGAAATTCTAGCTAAACAAGTTCATCAACGTCAAGTTCAACATCAACATCACCAACAGCTCTTGCAACAACAGCAACTTCATCTTGCTCAGCAGGAACAGGAACATATAATGTCCCGTCATCCTCTTTCCCAGCCCACTAGCGGACAGCAAGGTAGTTCCTGCTCAGGACTTGTTTACACGTCTATGAACCAATCCAGCAGTAACCTTGTCCACCAACAACCCAATGAGTCTCATTGTCAGCCATATGCTAACTATATTAATACTCCAATATGGCAGCAACATGCTTCAATTCACGATCCCTACCATTCAGTATCATCGCAAAATCAAGCTCATCAGCAGCAGCAGTCAATGAGGCATGCTTATTTTTCACAACAGGTTTCTGCTCAGCATCCGGCAATGTTTTATCAACAGTCCCAAACAAGACCAGATCCAGTCTCACCTAGTGGGTCGAGGATCCTGACATCAGTCACTTCTGGTATTCCTTCAATGAGTCCACATGCTCCTGGTCAGTTTATTTCCACTGCTAACCCTCCCACACAAGGGGATTATACCGGTGCTCAGAGCACTTCTGTACCTAAAGCCACACGATTAACTTATCCAGAAATGTCAGAATTAGTTCACCAACCTCAAATGGCTCCTGATTCTTTGCCTAGTAGTTATGGGATAAATAACCAGGCTATGATGTCTACAAGTCGTAGCAATCAACAAATGGTACATTCTAACACTATGCAAGTTTATCGTAACAACGTTTCTCAACGTAGTGATCACGTACGTTTTCTAACCTAATATTTTAAAGGTTTTTTTTACTCAGGGCTCCTATTTATCTCTCATAAACATCTTGAAGGATTGGATTCTTATACTAAGTCAGTCATCAGTCATCTACAACACAGGACAAGGCACATATATGCATCAGTCCAAATTGCCACATCTCATTAGCACAACAAGAACACCAAATTCATAAAAGTATTTACTTCAATGGTAGTAATATATAAAAGAATGATTGCGTATAAGGATATAATACAGGAAGAACGAATTAGTTCGTAGAATGAAAGGTGCAAAGTAATTTTAATCTCACAGTTTAGGAGAGGACAAAGAGTGTATACACTGACGCTATTGTGATCGATTCTGAGCCATATCACCCAGAGTCTCCAACCATTAGTTACGACAGTCACGTGGATCCCAACCAAGTGGTTTGCATCTACCAACATGGCTCAGACCAGAAGTTGGTGGCTTTGTGGATTGATACCACGTTTTGGTTTGACCACCCCTAACTTCCCTCCATCCGTCCCCAACACTAGTCAGCATTGCGCGCTGTGGTAGTCCGTGGTTGGGTATGCGTAATATGTGGACCAAACATCTTAGTCGATGTAGATTTACAACCTCATCAACGCATTTACCATTATTCCCTAATACCCTCCGTCTAACCTCACTATTACTTACTTATCCAAATGACTAAATCCACCCTTCTATACCAGGCAAAACTGAAGTCATTAAGAATTGAACATTTCTATGTAGTTTTATTCTCTAAGCTGGACGGTTTGGTCATGGAGCTTTCACTGTTATTCTGGACGACATCAGCACAAACCTTAGGTAGAAGCCCTACGTGAAGTTTTTTCTGATGATGTCGTTTAGAATAACGGTGAAAGCCCCACGACCAAACCATCCCGCTCAAAGAACAAAACTCCATAAATATCATCCACCTGAGCTACGAATCCTCTCTACCATCTCAGAATTGAACATCCTATGAGAAAATCATCTTGTATGCTTACCTAAGAGAATCAAGAAGACACACACAGGAATGTTACTAAACAGTACAACACTTCGCTCTGTAATCCATAAACTCTTATTCTAAAACCACGAGTAAATTTTTCTGAAAATAAGACGTAATTATGAAAATCGCTATTGTAAAAAGTAATTTTAAAGAAACTATCATCAGATTACCAGTTGATCACAGGGATTACCAGAAAAATTTCAGTGTTTCAATAAAATCTATACATATCGAGATCACGTACTCCATTTTATTACGATTATCAATATTATCAACGTTTTAACCAGCGTATTTGTTGATATCGAGTAAACGGATCAAACGCTTACTGGTCTAACTAAACTAATTATATATAATTTTGTACAGGTCAACTGAACGACAATAAGTTTGGCAGCCCCCTAAGATTTCTCCATCCGTCTCCAACACTAGTCAGCATTGCGCGCTGTGGTAGTCCGTGGTTGGGCATGCGTAATATATGGACCAACCATCTTAGTCGATGTAGATTTACAACCTCATCAACGCATTTACCATTATTCCCTAATACCCTCCGTCTAACCTCACTATTACTTACTTATCCAAATGACTAAATCCACCCTTCTATACCAGGCAAAACTGAAGTCATTAAGAATTGAACATTTCTATGTAGTTTTATTCTCTAAGCTGGACGGTTTGGTCATGGAGCTTTCACTGTTATTCTGGACGACATCAGCACAAACCTTAGGTAGAAGCCCTACGTGAAGTTTTTTCTGATGATGTCGTTTAGAATAACGGTGAAAGCCCCACGACCAAACCATCCCGCTCAAAGAATAAAACTCCATAAATATCATCCACCTGAGCTACGAATCCTCTCTACCATCTCAGAATTGAACATCCTATGAGAAAATCATCTTGTATGCTTACCTAAGAGAATCAAGAAGACACACACAGGAATGTTACTAAACAGTACAACACTTCGCTCTGTAATCCATAAACTCTTATTCTAAAACCACGAGTAAATTTTTCTGAAAATAAGACGTAATTATGAAAATCGCTATTGTAAAAAGTAATTTTAAAGAAACTATCATCAGATTACCAGTTGATCACAGGGATTACCAGAAAAATTTCAGTGTTTCAATAAAATCTATACATATCGAGATCACGTACTCCATTTTATTACGATTATCAATATTATCAACGTTTTAACCAGCGTATTTGTTGATATCGAGTAAACGGATCAAACGCTTACTGGTCTAACTAAACTAATTATATATAATTTTGTACAGGTCAACTGAACGACAATAAGTTTGGCAGCCCCCTAAGATTTCTCCATCCGTCTCCAACACTAGTCAGCATTGCGCGCTGTGGTAGTCCGTGGTTGGGCATGCGTAATATATGGACCAACCATCTTAGTCGATGTAGATTTACAACCTCATCAACGCATTTACCATTATTCCCTAATACCCTCCGTCTAACTTCACTATTACTTACCCGGTAACCCAGCAGATGCAAGCAATGTTTCTAAGACATCTGTGGTCAAATACTAGTAACTTACGCGTATCTTCTACTCTTAATCGCCACGTTTCGCAGCAGAACAGAAAGAATTGCCGCGTTGTTTGATAGACGGATATCTCACCTTCGCCATTGGTGGCATAGGTTGACAAAAGCTGAACGACATATTTTGAATCCGTGCTGGGATTTCGTCATGCACCAGCCCTTTAGTGGTGATCAGATTTCCAAGATGGTATTAAATTTAGTTCCCAGATTTTAGCTAAAATATTATTCATCCTAATCTCTGAAATTGGACCACTATACTTAAAGACCTCTGGAGCCAATTCATCTGAACCAGCTGCTTGTCCTGGTTTCATAGCTACTTCAATGTTCCATTCATGATGTTTGGAATGTTGGGTAGTTGTAGAGTAGCTGAAGACCAGCTGAACTGCTCCTTAAAGTGTTCTTCTCTTCGTTCTAAACATCTGGGCTGAGAGTAAATAAGTGTCGTCTTTTTCCAAGATCGTCTCACTTACACTTGACTTCCTAATTCCAGTTTATTTTATTGGTCTGAAAAGCTGTCTGGTGTTACCTATAGCCACTGCCTTTTCCTTCTTTCGTTCCTCACCACTGCCCACAGTCGTTCCGTAGACTTTTAGTTAATCTAGATCTGATTTGTTTTTGCTCTTCATCGTGTTCATAGCCTGATGGGATGAGTTTACAAGAATCCATCAGCGCAAAAGATGTAGCAGAAATTCACTGCTTTTTCATGACTTTTTAGTTCAAATCACTGATAGATGTCACTGCTGTTTCCACAGCTGATTGTATATCTTTCCAAGCAACATCTGAGTCAGCCTCGTTTTCAGAACTACCTAAGTGTTATCTCAGTTGTTCCTTGAATCTACTTTCGGCTTTCTCACTCAATTCAATTCTAATGAGTCTTCTTAATGTGGCTTTTCTACGTCCAATGAGGCTCAAGTAAATGTGTGTACGTATTAGAGTCTAAACATGTACTCCACAACGATCGACAATCTTCTATCGAGCCTCTCTAACACTGGCTGATGGCAGTATGGTCTAGTCGAGTTCATCGTTAGTTTGGTGCAGGGGGTCGCCATGTTAGACGGTGTCTCTCATTATGCCTAAAATTAATGCTTGCGAAACAGACGATCACCATTATCTGTTCTCTGGGCCGGAATACCAAGATTCTCACTTAAATGTCTTTCTGTTTGGTTTAAGCTACCTACAAGGGCATTAAAATTACCTGGTACGATTACTACATCTGAGTGTTTAGCTTTATGAAGGAGTTCGGAAAGCTTTCTGTAAAAGTCATCTTTCACTTCACCGGGCTGCAATTAGTCTGAGCGTAGGCAGAAACGACGAGAAGGCAACGACGTGTGTTTCTATCCTTCTGAGTTCTTACGGAGCCGTTTAACCGAACAGCACATAGGCGACTGTTAATAGTGCTTGTTCTGCCCTCGTACTTAGTGCTATGCCTACACCTGCCACTACACGAGAAACAGCCATCGGGTCGCCAGATATACGGGGGGGGGTATCTTGTCGGCTCTCCGTTTTGGCAAGGTGAGGTCAAGTGAATGAACACACTAGGATACTGTATGCGTGTTTCGGAGACACAGCGTACATCAATGGTACGAGATTCTAGGATTTTTAGCCAAGGTGGCCTGTTGGCCAATTTGACATAGGGTGTGTACGTTGAAGGCTCCAGTGTATAGTTTGGAGCGAGGTTTCAGTAGATCTATAACTGGTTTGCGCACTAGAATCGTTGGCTATGCTGACACTTGAGGAGTAAGCCGAAAGAGGAAGTTTAGAGTTGAAAGTCTATGTAGGAGGAATAATAGGAATTAAAGAGCGAGAATGTTTATGAATACAGTGGTCTTGAGTGCTGTTAGAGGTTTGAGGGCGGTTGTCACTTCCCGGTTGCCCACTCCATGGAAGGGTTCTTCTGGAGGTACCTGAAAAGGAAATTGGGTTGGGGGTGATCTTAATGACCTGAGAGCGTGACCGGAGTTCTCAAGTGACAACTGTTTGAGGCCGGTCACATACGACCTTTTTGTGATTAGTTTTCTTGTTAGCTCCGTATTTATTGGAACCTTACCGCCGGAGACGGAAATTCATGGGATAAGGCGATTTGTGCATTTCTAGGGTTGACCTTTTCCAACCTCACCCTTCCGTGTGGGAAAGCGGCATCGCTGTTATGCTGGTTGTCTGAAGTAAACACTTTACTGCCCTCACACCTTTTCACAGTCAGCAGTACGATTCCGCTTTCGGACATTGGGTTTGCTGCTTTTAGTCTTACCGCTCTTCAACCGACCTGTCTGACATGGTAGGACCTTGAAGGACGATTGTTCCAGCCAGTATAGCTCGATCGGTTCATCACGATATACAAGCTCGACCATCCCGTCAAGGTAGCAGCAACGGTCGGGATTCTTATACTAAATTTAGGTATTGTCTGTTGACTAACTTGATCACTACGTTATTCTTTTTATGTATATACAGATCCTTCGATATCTTTCGAAATAATCCTTTGAATATCTATGTATTATAAATGATCAATTTCAAATAAATTTATATCAAGGGACTAGAAAATATATATTATGAAGCACTTAGTTGTCCATTCTTCTCATTTTCAAGTTTTAATTCACTCAAAATTGAACAATCATAAGCTTATGTTTTACATTATTCCTCATACGAAGTCATTACTGTGTTCTATCTGGACTGTTTTTTACTGTGTCATATTGAGGGCTTTAGTTACTGTCAGTGCGAATTAGGTGAGTAAATTATCATGTAAAAATTCCTAAAGGATCGATTCAACACAAAAATATGTATAATTCACTTATAACTTAACAAAATCAAATGATAATAACATATTTTCGTGTATTCTAATTCCTGTAATGTTTTGCTCGATAGATGGAACTTATTTATTATTCACTTTCAGCCGTCATCAATGAATCCGTACCATCAAATGGACGTTGTCACTCCATCTTCATTGACTTCAATAGATAATCAATTAATTTCTGACATACCTCGGGCGCCATCTGTAGCGACTGGTCTAGAAGAAGTTGGTTTTGAACCACCTATCATTGTGAGTCGTCTTGCCGCCAAAGAAAAACGATGTGCACCAGTTATTAATGTCAATCTACTTAGTGGTTCAGCTTACCAAACTGAACATACGGTTGATCAACAACGTTTGAGTTTTGATAATACTGATGGATCAGCTGTTAATGGTGGTGGTGATGTGGCAAATTTTTCCTACAAAACCACATCTGAGGGTAGGTAGACATTTTATTGATATTATTCTATGCTAAAAAAAGTAATTGTAATATGTTAAGCCTTCCTCTCCCAGGTGTTATTAGTTATTTTCACAAGCGTAACAATTACAAAGCAACAAAATTTAAGAATTTACAACTGGAATATTTTTTCCCGTCATCATCATGCAAAATAACAAGGTGTACTTGTCATTTTGAGCGAATAATAGTAGTTTTTTGCTTTAAAATTTTATATCGGTTTAGATAATTGGAGGATGATTTCAGCTTTGAACAATGAGTAGAAAACTTAGTGATCAAAATGAAGTGTACACAGTTCTTGAATGCTTCATTCATTTGATACATCTGTTGTTAATCATTCGAGTTATTTTGTTTGATTCGATTCCTATCTGATTATAATGACAGTTATATCACCAAATAGTTTATCGAAGTTATTAGGACATCTATAAAAAGCCAAAATAAATTGTTATCCAGTGATTCAGTCACAATCATTGTGAGATCTTGTATTAGAAGTATATAATGTGGTGGAAACCATTGAATTTATAGTTTGGTAACAAAATTGTGTTGCGTCTGATACAGTTTAGCATATCACTATTTCTGTATGAGCATCATCAGTGTGGATAACATACGATCATAAATCACTCAAAAAGTCACTAGGAACAGGTCAAATACATATAATTATATGGAAATCGTCTTTTATTATAAATATGATCAATACTTACCTTTATGCCATTTGTGTATCTAACTGTAGTTGAATGATTCTAACTGTCTTTTTGTGTTGAATCAATTAGGCTGCATTTTTGTACAAGTATATCCTACTACATGAATGTGAAAATCATATCAATCTGTCTTCTGTTTTGATTCATTTATTGGTTTGTTTTATTGCTTTCATTCATATTGAATTAAATTTATTCTAGATAATCAAATTCACTTGTCTAATAAATATTTTGTAAGTAGTATCTCGTTTAATAAACACCTTAACTTTCATGGTTTATTAGTTTTCTTTTAGTTTGTTTTTCTTCGCAATATTTTGAAATATGTTTATGTACGTTCGTGTGTGTGTATGAGAGAGCTTATTGGTGTTTTTTTTAATCAGTATTCTATGCTTATGCTGAGTAGTAGTTAACTTGTAAGAATCTTTTAATTTGTTCGTCTTATTCATTTCCAAATTAGCTTAAGGATTTATTTATTTCTTACCTATATATATCTGTATATTATTTAATTCTTTACTTTTCTAATTAGATGTAAGCAGGCAACAACATGATTGACAAGCTAATAAATAAAGAGCTATATAACTTATCACCGGTATCAGTAAACGATCTGTAAGTATGAATTCCTTTTAAATAAAAATTAATCTATGTTATTATATGCTGTTATATTTGTATAGAATGTTAAATGATAAGTTATTTGTTTATTTATTTCAGTCTTTTTTTGTTAGACATATTCAATTCTTTATGAAACTACTCGATCAAGGTTAGACATAGAAAAAACAGGATAATGGATATTCTGCTTAATCTTATATCCTGTACACAAATACGTAGTTTGTTCTCTAGTATAAACACTAACCAGTTTTAGGTAATGTTATGCATCATATCCACTATCCTGTCATTAAAGTTCTGCTATTAGCTGTTCGATGTATGTTTATCGCTCAGTCGGTCAGTCAGTCGGCAACATCGTAGAACTTCGTACGTACGTACATCAGTTCGAGTTGCCATACCACATTAGCACACAAATACAATTGTCGATTCAAATCCCGTAGTAGTATAGGTAGTAAGAGTATAAGCCGTACTCTGAAAGATTAAGGTTTGAAGATGTTATTCAAGGAGTATAATTCAGTGAAATAAATTTGGAAAGAGAAAGAAGGAACATGAAGAATTCAGAAGATTAGAATTTGGAAGAACACAGAGTGGATGCACCTGCGCCATTGCAAACGATTTCGAGCCATGCCATTCAAGGTCTCTAACCATCGGTTGCTATCACCTCGTGGATCCCAACCAGGTAGTCTACACCTACCAACATGACTCAGTCTACTTGTCAGAGACTTCATGGGTTTGTGCCATATTCTGCTCTGACCGCCCCTAGCTTTCTTCCAACCTACTCCTACACGAGAAAACATCGCTCGTCAGGACAGTCGGTGGTTGGGCATACGTAACACATGTCCCAGCCATCTCAACTGATGAAGTTTTACTACTTCAATTGATTTACCATCCTTACCTAGTACCCACTTCCCAACAACTGCATTACTTACCCGTTGGTCCCAGGATATACGAGCAATGTTTCGAGGTTACCTATGATCGAATACTAGTAACCTACGAATATCCTTTACTCTTACCGTCCATGTTTTACTGCCATAAAGAAGGGCGGGACGAACTGCTGCGCAGGAAACCCGTCCATTAGTTGCTAGACGGATATCTCGCCTACACCATAAATGACGCAAGTTGGCAAAAGCTAGTTGAGCCTTCTGTATCCGTGCTGAGATTTCGTCACACACCAGACCACAAGGGTTGATGAGACTTCCAAGATAAGTGAAGTGGTCGACACGCTCAATTACTTCACTCCCTATCATTAGTTCGGGTGTCGATGCAACCCAATCCTGAAGCAACATTTTGCATTTCGAGGGGGAGAATCGCATCCCGAACATGCTTGCATTGTTGCTTAGAGTGGTCAGAAGACTCTGCATTTTGTCAGCGTCTTCACCAAATAAAACTATGTCATCAGCATATTTCAAGTCAACAAGTGAACCTCCCGGTAGAAGTTCAACCCCTGTAAATTTAGATGAGGAGATTGTCATCTCTAAAAGTACGTCAATGACAAAGTTAAACAAGAATGGAGAAAGTAGACAGCCCTGAAGAACATCACTTGAGGTAATCAATTGTGATGACAGTTCGCCATAAGCTATCACTCGACCAGTTGTATTTGGGTAGAGAACCTTTACAAGGTTAATGTACTTCTTTGGTGCTCCTTTCAGTGACAAACACTGCCACAGAACCTCACGATCAACAGAATCGAATGCTGCCTTAAGATCGAGGAATACTACGACGGTGGGGCGTCTGAATATGTGTCTGTATTCTAGAACCTGACGTAGTGTGAATATCTGATCTATACAACCACGTCCAGGTCGAAAACCAGCCTGGTTTTCTCTAGTCTGCTCTTCACGAGCTTTAGTTAAGCGTCGAAGTATTACTGATGCTAATATTTTAGACACTATATTAGTCAAACTGATTCCTCTGTGATTGTCACAAGAGGACTTTTGTCCTTTCTTATAGACTGGCATAATCAGTGATTGATACCAGTCAGATGGGATTACGTCCAGCTCCCAGATTCTACCTAAGACCTCAGTCAATCTCACTGCTAATAGTGGACCGCCATCCTTAAAAATTTCAGGGGTAAACCTGTCAGGGCCTGCTGCTCTCTCTCTCGCTTCAGATTTCCTATAGCTTTTTCAACTTCGTAAAGAGTTGAAGGATTTACATTAACTTGCCATTCAGGTTGACTGGAGATCTTGGGAAGCTGAAGTGTGGCTGAAGACTAGTTGAACTGATCCCTAAAGTGTTCTACCAATCGATCCAATCTTCTGAATTGAGAGTGAATAACGTGTCCATCTTTTTCCGAGATAGTTTTGCTAACAGTTGGATTCCTAATACCGATTTCCTTGACAAGTCTGAACAGTTGTCTGCTGTTACCTATTGCCGCTGCCTTTTCCATCTCTTTTGCTTTCGCTACCCACCACTGTTTGCGACCATTGCGTAGGCTTCTTATCAACCTGCGCTTAAGTTGACTCCGCTCTTCTTCATGTTCAGAGCCAGATGGGATGAGTTTCCGAGCATCTATCAGTGCGACAGATGCTGCTGAGATCCAATGTTTTTCCCTAACGTTATGGTTTACCTTACTAGCAGATATCACTGCTGTTTCAATAGCTTTTCAGATGTCATTCCACACTACCTCGGTCGGGCATCACTTACATGACTGCCTAACTGTTTTTCTAGTTTTTCCTGAAATATATTCTTAGCTTGGTTATGATTGAGTAGGACCCTAAGGGGTTTCTTTGCAACGCCTTTCCTACGTTCAGTAAGACACAGACAAACACGCATGTGCTGCAGAATGATCGACAGTCTTCTATCGAGCCCCTCTATCGGTGGCTGATAAAGATGTGATCTATTTGGGCCCAACGTTGGGATGTATTCGGGAGTTGTTATGTCAAAAGATGATTTTCCTTATGATTAAATTTAGTATTTGCAAGAAAGAGGCGGTTATTCGAGCATAACTGCAACAGACGGTCGCCATTATCTGTTCTTTGAGCCACGACACCATAAGATCCACCTAGGTGTCTTTCCTTTTCGCTTAGTTTACCTACTTGGGCATTAAAGTCACCAGCTTTCTGTAAAACTCATCTTTTACATCATCTGGGCTGCAGTCAGTGAGAGAGTAGGCAACGACGAGGGTCTCTATCTTTCCGAGTCCTTACTGTTCCGTTTAGTCGGACAGCGCATAAACGACTGTCTAATGAGATCCAGTTTAAGAGAGCTAGTTCTGTCCTAGGACTCAATGCTATACTTACGCCAGCGAGGCCATGGGAAGCAGCATCAGGGCTTCCAGATACATGAAGCGTGAATCGAGTTGGTTCTTTATTTTGACATGGTGGTGTCAAATGAATGACGCTACTCAGATCCTGTATGCGCGTTTCGAAGACGCAGCACACATCGATGGCGCAGGATTCTAAAATCTTAGCTAAGGAAGCCTGCTGTCCTATTTGGCACAGTGTTTGAACGTTAAAAGCTCCTGCGTGTAGTTTAGAGTGTGGTCTTAGGAGACCAGGAATAGCGTTGCCTTGTGAGAAGGCAACATTGCTGCAGATGCTGGTTGTCCGAAGGAAACACCTTACTGCTGTCACACCCGTCTACAGTCACCAGTACGACTTCGCCCTCAGACCTTGAGTTGCTGCTTTTAGTCTTACCGTTCTCTAATCGACCTGCCTGGCTTAGTAGAACCTACACGAACATATGTTCCAGCCAATATAACTCGGTTGGGTCATCACGATATCTAAGCCTGACCGCCACGTCAAGGTAGCCGCTACGGTTTGGTAGAATAAATAAATTAGTTTTTTTCCGTTTACTACGTATATTTCTGAGCAGTTACTACCATGCTCCTGTTCTAACAGATTGAGCTACACCTTTGCAATGAACAATGGGCTAGAGAATTATTAGGGAAGTAAAATTTAATTATTCCGATTTGGTTAGTTCAGAAATTATTTTCGAAACTAATGATTAAAATGTGTGGAATGTTAAGTACGTTATCATCAGTAGTAACCACCTTTATCACAGTCTTAGTTATATATATATATATATATATATATATATATATATATATATATATATATATATATATATATATCGGGACTGTATCCTGGAATCGTAATGTAGTTAACATTTGCCAAAAAACAACATCAAAATCTAAGGAAATATTACTTTTATGTCATTATAATCATAGTACTGGTCAAATAGTTGCTTTATGTATGACACTAGCTTGTATTTAAAATAAGATAATTTCGTACACATTAGAAGCTAGCTTCGAAGTGGATATCTCAATGATCTAGTGCATGCCAGTATAGAGTTGTCCAATAATCCTTAGTTTTCAGCAGTTATCCTTTTAATATTAGTTTATAATAAAGGGACAGTTAATTTTGAATTGAATTTTACTTGTTGATTTTTACTATTAGTCATGGTTACCTGATATACAGCGTCAATGTTGAATGTAAACTGAATTTCTTAAAAAAAATTGCTCACTCAATCCTAACAACTAATTTTATTTTTTGAAATTTGTTGTAGTGTTTTTCCCCGACTCTTCATTTTGGCACACACATGCAGTGGGAAAATCAGTTTCTTAGTGATTTGTTTTTTCTTCGTATTTTACATCTATGTTATGTTTTTTGAAATTTTCATCAACTTAATTGTATTGTTGACTGTTTTACTACTTTCATCTGTGCCTAAAATAGCTCTGTAAACAGTTTTTTAGAAGAATTGTTGGCCTTTGAGTTTTTTTTTTGAAATTTCTATGATTGTTATCGATTGAACGAAAATTGTTATTTCTATGCTCGATTGAACTTATTACATATGTTTTGTGGTCATATACGATATAGACGTTGCACATTAGCGCACACATTACACAAACATTCAGTTAATTCATATTTTTCTGCATTCACCTCCAGTTTTTTTGTCCATGCGGTTCCAATGGTGAATTTATTTATCTGATAAATAAAATCATCTGTTTA